ATCTTGAACAATCTTATTTATTTATCTATTAGACTTTTACAGAAATACACAACAGAGGTAATATTGACCGACGTAAAATCAAGATGGTTTCGTGGAGGTATGGTAGTTATACGCAAATTAGAACCTTATATTCAGTACAGAAAAATAATATGTTACTATATCATTTTATTTATATATTACTTTGTTTTAGACAGTAAGTGTTATAATATTTATATGTTATATAAACATTGCTATATGTTGTATAAACGTATATTATTTATATGTCATATTATAAGTGTTAAATATTATTTTGTTTTTCAGTCAGTAAGTGTTTGACAGTCAGTACCGTGCATCATTAACGGAACCAGGATTTAATTTTTTTTTTTTGGAGAGGGGGAGGGTTTCAGCCCGAAAGCCCCTCCCCTTGTAGATCGTCCTGTACTCTCGATTATGTACAATTCGGTCCATGTATTCAAGTCAGTAAATATTGATAGGTATGTCTGATACGAAGTCTAGTCAGTATGACTTCTTGTCGTCAGCTATTTTGAATTGATGAATTCCTAAGGAGAATTGTATGATTGATGTCTCTTAGTTTGCTTTCTGTCGTGTAGATCCAGTTTTACTGTCCATTACCTTAGTTGTTGATAGTGGGGATATGTCAAGGGTTGTCAAAACAATACTTTATATCTGGGTTAAATTAAAGCTGATAGAATGCATTACAAAGTACTTCATTATAATTATCTTCGTGAATATAATAAGATTTTTTATAGATATTTGAAAAAAATGCACTGTCGGGAGGAAAAATAATGGTGTTTGGATTTTTTTTTGCCAGTGGAGAAGCCCCCTCCTCCCAACATCTGAGAATATTTTTTAGCACCTGGAAGTTGTGCAGTTTTATATATTTGGTTCCTACTTTTAATGGGTGCCATTTTGAAACGTATTTGCCATGCTGATAGCACTCGCAGCAAATTGAATGCTGAGAACAGACGGTACAAAGGAATATAACTGAAAGATTTTTCTTCAAATTGCTACCCGTTCTTATACTTTTAAATATTTACTGATGTACCTCAACCATATCATAAATTAATTAAATCCCTTTTGGGATGGTTCATTATGGTTATGAATTTAGGAGATGATATGATTAATATAAAACACATAATACTCGTACATTGTTTTGCGCTATGAGCTTTCAAAGAGGCTAATGGTATGATTATAACAAGTTTAAAATCTCGTTCTGGGTAAAGTTTAAAGGAGCTTGGCAGAGATTAGGACGAATGTCTTGTCATTAGTGAAATATTAAATTATAAAATGTATTAATAGAATACTATACACATTTATATAACACGATTGAAGAGAATAATGGCCAACGAATGTTGGATATCACTTAGCACTGTCCACTGGCCATCGTTCTAATCTATATCCGCATTAGCTTACACCCAATGAGACATCCCAACTTGTCGGTCTACCTCTCTGACGTTTACCAGTCAAATCAAACTAATCTACACCAAATAAAAAACAGCTCCAACCAAGAAAATAATTCTTCCGAAAATTAGTTTGTAACGCACATTATAATTCAAGCAGAGACAAGTTTCCAAGCAAAACTATTTACTAAAAGACGACTTGATATCAATATGTCAGTATTCATAGTGTTTTATGGATTAATTAAAAAGTAGGATATCCAAGAGGTGATAAAATTACCTAATAATACTTTCAAATTAAAATAGTAAAGAGTGTTATCGTTTACGGAACTTCGCTTAATGTTTATGAACCTCTTCTTATAAATTCAGAATTAAGGTTTCAGAGAAGCTATTAATTCAGCCACTACCCGATTTTTTCAACTTTCGGGAGATAACAGATACTTCCTTCTGATACTACGCTCTGATCGTTTTATGGTGCGTGAGAGACTGCCATTAGATAATAAAGTAATTAAGCTGTAAGATAGGGAACAGAGTTCATGTAATTTATTAAATGTATAGAACGAGTTTCAACTAAAAACAAACAAAAAACCGAAGGAAAAAAAAAACTTGCCTTCCTGAACTTATTAAATTCACAAACTAAAAATATTAGGAACATTTTAATGTAAAAATCTTCAAATATTCAAAAGGGTCCATTCAATTGAAAACATTTTCCTCCTCTGTGCCGTTCCATTATCTGTAACTGAGAAGTACTAAAATAAACAATTCTCATATGAATAATTAGATTTGGAGGAAATCGAACTTTGTCTGGTATCTTAAAAGCGTGTGTACGTGGATGGCAGGTTCAACCTTTGACTTCGTCTTATAAAGATATTCCAAGTTATCCACTCTATAAGAGATTGGGTTAATTTTATTTTAAGACTGGAGTTAAATTTTTTTACTCATTGAAGATATAAGTGTCTTTTTTTCCAGGACAATTCGCTGATAGAAGTTAGCAATAGAGGAAGAGAGGAGTAGATTTGTTACCTGATATGAAATTTCCTATCAGAGCATTATAACGTCTTTTAAAAAGGACTTTACAGCAAGAGTTGGTGAAGAACAAACTTATTCGCACTATGTACAATATAGTTACAAAAAAATTGAACTAAACTTTTAACATAATTTTCATAACTTCAAAATATCTTTAAGCATTTTATGAAATTTCAGATCTACAAAGACTAAGCAAATTGAACAAAACAATCTTAAGATGAGAATATGACATTGAATAAGATATTAAAAATTATAATATTAAATGGTGATAACTGCAATGATGTAATAAGAAGATTCATTCACAACAAATTGTTAGTAAAAAAAACTGGCTAATTACTTAATGTTTACCATATAAATCTAATATATTTCTAATAGCATAGACATTCAACTTTAAAAAATTGGAAGATTTTTTAAAATTATAACATTTGCACAAGTAAAAAGTAAAAGTTAACTAAATTAAAATAACCTTCACGGCAAATATAAATAGCTGCAGAAATACTATTCAGTAATATTAACACATTATATATATACATATGCAATAAATACATAAATTAAAACAAACATCAGACACAAATTGACAGTTCAGCGAGCCCAGCATGGTCACAATTAATAATCTTGTTAACAAATTGTTGTGATTATTATTAAATTTTAATTCTAAAATATTTATATTAAGCCAGATTTTAATTAGATACAAAACAGACTCCCTAAAGAATGTGAAATTTATCTGAGATCAATGGATCAGTCAATTTCTTAAAATTATTATTTGACAATATTATCATGTCAGCTGAAAAATAATTTTATTGAAAATAATGGAAAAAAAAAACTAAGGAAGATTGTTTTCAAGATGATAGGCGCATCTTGATCTTGGTCATCACTGATATTTATTAGGATATCTCAATTGTAAATTGGTAGGTATAATAATCATCAATGACATAATGAATAACGTAGTTCTAAAGAATTTAGATTAGATTTTTGTCTAAATTGTTATTAAAAAAGATAAAAATTTTAAATGGAATGTAAAACATTCTCTACAAAACATCCTTTTTTATATTTTAAAAACGGCTAAAATCCAAACCTAGGTTTTAATTTATAATGGGGTATGAACTTATAAATAATAAATTATAAATATTTTAACTCAGTAACTGTACAATTTAAACTTATAAGTTACTAAATATTTTACGTTTTGCAACTTTAAGTAACTTCTAATGTATACAATATATATTAAAATAAAAAATAAAATAAATAAATATGTTCAATAACTAGAAGTCTTTATTTATTTAGATCCCCCCCTACACAAGAAAGTAGATTACTATACTTAAAGTAAACAATAAAGAATACAATTTTTTAAAACTATCTTTAGGGATAAAAGATTTTTTGTATTTCCTAAATAGTGATAAGCCTTTTAAAAACAAAAGATGTCTATATTATGTTAATTATGAATCATATAAATATTTAATATGAATTTTTATAAGAAAAAACTAACCAAAACTAAATTAATATGTAATAATAAATATCTTAAAGATTCAAGGCATTTAATCATTACTGATTTATATAAATAGAAAACATCTGAACTAAATAATGTCACATTATAAAGAAATTAGAATAAATATATCAACAGCCGCACTGCAAATGTCTGTAAATACAACTTTATTGGAAAGTGCAATTTTCAGCTTTACTGGTGAATCTTGGACTTAAAAAAATTCAGAAATAAAAACTAAACATGTTATTTAAAATATTACATCATTATTTTAAGTATGCAATAAAATTCGAACCGAAAATATAGTTTATTCAAAATATGAATAATTTCACTCTTTAAAGATATAGGCTTTTACAATATAGCTGTCGATATTGTAAAGTTTGATTAATATGAATTAATAAAGAATAAAAACAAGTAAGCTAAATCATAACCCAAGACAAAGAGAAGACTGAAATATTAATTAAATAAAGATAATATACTTTGAATTTGCTATATCAAATTTATTTTTTTGGTTGATTTTTATCACTGAAAACACCACTTATCAGATATGAATTTTTCTTGGATCATCAATGAACAAACTATCTATACTGAAATACTGAAAAAGCAAAATAAAATTATTTACTTCATGTAACGAAATTTATTGTGTTCTAAATATTGATCTTCTTCTCTGCCATTGAAAGTTGTGAAATATCACAGCGTTTAAATGTTTTAGTACCAAAAGATTCAAAAGTACACAGTAGATCATGTATGTCATGAAACTTATCAACGGCATCATTGTAAACATTATAATAGTTAGAAGTATTACTCCAGTCGTCAACAGGTTCCATGGAACACCTGATAACTGAGGTGGAAGCATAGGTGCCATTAAGCTCAGTACTTTATTTAAGATATCACAAGGGGAACTCATCTGCAACAATGTCAACTTGTTTTTTTTTTCATTTATAGCATGTATTAAATTACTTATTTAAATCCTATGGGAATAGAAAGTCTCACCTCTTTAGTGTGATAAAAAAGTGTAGTATATGAACAGATAAAAAAAAAAGGCTTCAATTCATTCTGCAAGTGGTGCTTTCATTCTGTAAATAATTAGACTTCTTTACCTGCTGTTGTTCTGCAGTCAGTTGTGAGGTCATTTTACACCACATCCCAACCTTCGGTGCATTAATAAGAATTATTTAATTTCTAGAAAAATCACTAAGAAAAACCTCTAACTGAAGCATAATTCAACTTAGCAATAATTGTTCTTAATTTTTTATAATTTAAAGTCCGGTTGGCCATCAAATAAACATAGCAAATTCTGAAGGCCCAGTGATAACATTCAAATGTGAGATATGTGTGATAACGAACATTTTGGAACACGGCACAAATTTTAACTCGACATGATGATTACAAACAAACTACTAACACCGTGGTCCAGCTGTACTTTCACACTGCCTTTATAATCAGAAAGTCAACCAGATAAATAAAGCGGCAATGAGCTCCATTCTAGAATTATGGTAGCTGTGGCTTTTCCTTCTGGTCAACATATGATCTAATGTTTATCAACTTAATGATTACTAAGCATGACAAGGGGTCTCATTTTGATTGTTTTAAGCAATAAATAAATGATGTTCACTGTTATTGAAATGCCGTTTTAATTTCTTATTAAAATTTAGAACTTTTATTTATTTTTTATGTTCTATAGAAGTTCTGTATAACTTTTCTAACTATTCATTTTTAAAACAAGGTTATATCTCTTTGTGAATGCATTGTAGCTTTAATCTATTTCAAAATTACTTACCTCCATACAAAGACGTTCCAAATAATTTTAATATTTGAATTCCTTATTTTTTATATCATTAAATCAACAATCATTTATGGAAGGGATTCCAGTTAAGATTAGTGAGAAATATAAACCACCCAGAAGGATAGCATTACCTGCTAGTGTCCAAAACAAATTGAATACTGTTATACAGTTTGAAAAGGCAAGTTTTTTGTTTTGTTTTTTATTATATGTGATGACAAATTAATGGTGTTAGCATTAGTTTATTTAAACTACTTCTAAACAAAATAATCTTGCATATACTGTTCAACATCACAATTTAGCTTTTATTTCTCACAACAAAAGAACTAAAATCAAGTTTCTAAACTCAGTACTGAGCTCTTAGATGGTATCGAATCATCTCTAAACTTGACAAAACTATCCCATCTGAAAACTAGGCACCAAGTTTAGAAACTCGCCTGATCTGCAATAAACTTAATGTAGCAATGTGTCTGATTACTATATACTAGTGTGCATTCTTTTATTTATGACCACACAGACATGCAATCTGTACTTATAATTTGTTCTACAGGGACAATAATCCCAGAATAATAATATATATTTTCATGTCATCCTATGAAATTTAAAATTAAATTTTGCATAATCTATATAAATAAAATAAACCATTTCGTATATTTGGTTCAGTACACCATTTCCTGCTGTGATAAGATACATTTTATCATCAGTTTCAATTGAAAGAATAATCGATATTCTGCAGAAAGTTTGATTCCAAAAATTAATTAGTTTCAGGAGAAATAAAACATTTCAGAGAGTGATTTTTCCCCTTATTAACTCATTGATTCTGATAAGGGTACAAGGATACAAGTTACGATTTTGCTGTTTTTCCACTTTATTAGCTATTGTATTTATGATATGAATATAAAAAGGAGGAAATAGCTGATTTATTTATTTTTTCTTTTTTACATAACACTGATAAACAATTATTATTACAAAGCTTTGTAATTGCATCCACATTATTATAAAGTTGTTGTTAACTTAAGTATACATTTACTATTTATTTAGTATCTGTACTTGAAAGATAAATAGATTCTTCAATTCACAGAGTCTCTAAACTATTATTGACTTGTTAATTTAGTGTCTTGTTTCCTTCAATGATTTACTTCGGTAACTCAGAAAATGTTTATTAATTTTTTAACCCTTCGCATCTACGCAAGCAACTGAGAAAATATTTCAGCATACTTTTATGGATTCTCAATTATCTATATTCAGTTCCTCAATTTTTTTTCCTCCAAATCAAATGCTATTTTATACCATTCACCAAATTTCTGATAGTATCCTGTCATGAGCATATCTCTGAATACTGTTATTTTACTGATAAAAATAATATTAAATATTAGAATTTCATCAATTTCTGTAGATAACTTCTGTTACATTTCCAATATTCATAATAAAACTCAATTTGTATTATTAAGAATGTTGGACACGGGGAAGTGGTATTGTATACTGAATGTTGACAATTCATAAGTTAAGTTTCTCTATATATATATTAATCCTGTTGCTCATGATATAAGTGTAGAAGTGCATTTGTTTTGACACTTTATTTCTATTTATTATAATTTTATGAAAGGAATTCTGATAAGAACTTATGTTTTTAGTATGACTTTGGACTGGAACGGTTTGTTCTGGAGCAAATGACCAAACTCAAAGAGCAGCAAAAATTAATGGATGCTAAACCAGTTAATACTTCGAATTCAGAAGAAAAAAATGTATCTTTAAATCAGAATAACATAGAAAGTATACTCAAACCTGTACCTCTTAAGCCACATATCGGTAGTGTCTCTAATCCACAGCAGGTAATACTTGTTTACAAGAAATTAGTAACTAATCACTGCCTATAATTCAAAATTTTTATAACGTTAATAAAACTTACAATCCTACCTAAATATCTTCTTAATTTTTATTAATATGTTAAATTTTAAGGTACAATTCTACAATCCAGGTACAATACTAGTAATGTACAATTATAGAAGCCTGTGTGGAGGAATGAAACCTGTAGTACTTGGTCCACGTTCCAAATTCTGCGTTATTTAGACAATTTGCAGATTTCAAAAGATATAAAAAATAAAATAAAATAATTAAAAATTGTTTAAGGATTGATTTTATTAGGTACCATAAAATTGCATGAATGTTATGTTTATTATCTATCGGTTTTACCCAAGCTAAACCAAATGGAAAATTTAAGAATTAATATAAAAGACTAAAATGACTTAAAATTTCTTAAACAGAACATAAACTTAAACATATTTGAACTAAGTGAAATAAATTTCTACAATGGTATGTTAGATCTTACTTACACATTTAACATATTACTAAATATTAAGAAGATATAAATATTTAAATTTGCTACTGTGAATTTTTGTACATATATCCTTATAATAAGATGTTATTTTCTTCCCTCTGAATAGGTTGTTGGTGGCTTCAACATTTCAGATTTCGAAAATGACACGTCTAGCCCATTTGATTCTGTAGAACTGAAGACAATAAATGAAATGGAAGTTCTGGCTCACGTTTTAGGAGGTACATCAGTCAATACTTCAGAAATTAGAAATTGGACATCTAATGAAAATGGAAGCAATACTCAAAATTGGGCTTGGGGATATGGCAGTCCAACTTATCCTCTCCATCCATCACAACATCCTACTTCAATAGAAAATGGTAATTTTTTTATTATATATCCTTCAGCTATTATAATAAACAATTTATTAATTTATATTTGGTAAAAGGTTCAGTCTAACTACACACCTACTATCAATTGACTAACATAATGGGTGTCCCAAAATTAATGAAAGATTTGAATTAAATAAAAACAGTTACTTTTCTTTAAATTGTTATTGCTTTCACTTACCTGTATATGCAATATATAGTAAGGGTTAGTATTACGATCGTGAAAATTTTCAACTCTGAGTTTTCAACGGAAATATATGATTTGAGATCTCTCCTGAGTCTAAATAACCAACTCCCTGCAAAATGGTATGAGTATGTGTGTGTGTATATCTGTGTGTGTATGTATATTATCAGTATAGCTCAAAAACGAAAAGTCGTTATTAAATTGCATGTTTAAGGTTTTTATAAGCTTTTTATGTTATAGCAACATTTTCGTCAAAATATGCAAACCGGAAGTGGTACTTTATATAATCGATTTAACACATTTTACGATTTTCTCAAAAACGGCTCTAACCATTTTGATTAAACTCAGTATATCAGTGTATTATTAAGCAGTTCTTAATACAATGTTGGTTTTATTCTCATTGATGTTCTCCATCCGGGCTTGAATGGCTAATTTTCATTGTTGGCTTCCTTTAAAGTACTTTTATTTTTTTTTAAATTATTAACCATTTCACATTAATCTTTGATATAAAAAATAGTTAAATATAAAATATAAAAAAATTTGATGATTAACTAAAGAAGAAATCAGGGATCGTAATCCACACATATATTATTACAGTAAGGCTCGAAATCGGTTTTGTACCAAATATAAGCTCCTGTCAGGCTCAAATGCCATGAATGGGGTACCATTGGATTCAGAATTTCACGGGGGGTTAGCGAATCGTATTCTCCACTTTTGTTTTTCTATCTAAAATAAATAAAGTCGATACAAACATTTTGCTAGGCTTCAATACTGTAACGGTGGTAGGTCTGTAGATCGATGCGAGACAAATTGGATCTTGAAGATTTTGATGCATACAGCAAGACCCGGATAGTTCCTCCGGAACTATCGGATTCTGCGTTTTTAAGCCCCAAAACGTACTATTTTCGAGATAACGCAAGGCATAGGGTACGCATCCACACAACCTTACATTAATTGTAGTACTGTCATTGAATACATGTCTCATTTCGTCGACTTGAGGTCTCTATGATCGAGACAGGAGGAGTTTATATTATTTATCGATGGTGTTTTTGATCGGTAAACCACATCATCGTTAATTTTTCACCAAATCTCAAGTTTGAGCCACCAATTTCGAAGGTTTCCTTCTCCTTCAGGCGGGCAAAATAGTCCAATCCCCCTGAAAATTCTGGCAAACAAGCTATGAAAGCAAACAAACTTTACTTGCGAATAACTAAAAAATTACACACTTTTCCCTGGGTTATTCCTATAATTATATAAAATATTTCTAAATTCCCTACAAAATGAAAAAAAAAAGTCATTGAAATTGGACAATATTTAGCAAAGATTAGCAGCTTAATGAAATTTGTATACATGTTGGTTCCAAACAGAAATGAAGATTTAAATTAATTCTTGTTTTCTTTTTCGATTATATTTATTGGTAAAGGAACATTTGATTTCTTTATCTTTTGATATGTTGCATTATTTTATTTTCTTATTAATTTGGCTTTTGATAACAATATGCTGTGCGAATTTTTCGCATGGGCCTACTAGTGGATAATAGTTACAATATAGGAATCAAAGCAATACGAGCTTGTCCGAAAGATTACAACAGGCTTCCATACGTAACATGAGATTCTTATAATATGAACTCTGACAATATTATGTTCATATACATATCTTCAATTTTCATAAATACTATCGTTGGTATTATTTAATATTTAATTGTATAGAATACAGCGATATAAAACTTAAAATTTGTATATATAAAGATATTTAAACAAATAAAAATACACACAATGAATTGTAAATAAATATAGCGTCAATAATTTTTACTTTCACTTCCCCTTTGTCTGAAAATACTTATTTCTGCCAAGAAGAGGGTGGAAAGTGAATGTCGTGTGATAGGTGCACCAGATTTTTTTTTATTGAATGTACGCATAATTGGGTTATCTATGAAATAACACATCAAGCAAATGGTCTCCACTGCTTGATGTTTCCATTCCATTGCTGATACATATGCACACTTTTGTTAAAATTTTCTATGGCCATTTTGCATAAATGTGCCTGAATTTCGTTGATGCAGTGTTGAATTTCCTCCATCAATGCGTGTGTGCTTGAGGACATGTTGGCATAGACCTTGGACTTCAAATAACCCTGTAAAAAAAATTCAATGGAGTTAAATCACACGATCAAGGGAGCCAATTTTCATCACCAAAACGAGAGAGTTAACAGCCAGGCAATGTCTCATGAAGTAACTGAATTGTTTCACGGGCTGTATGGCATGTGGCGCCGTCTTATTGAAACCACATGTCGCCCATGTCAATATCTTCTAATTTAGGCAGAAAGAACTGTGTTATCATGTCGCAATATTGAGCACCAGTAACATTCACTGCTTGATCATCATCGTTTTTGAAAAAATATGGTCCAATGAGGCCTCCAGCCCAAAATCCGCACCAAACAGTGGCAATTGAGAATTCAGTTATTTTTAAACTATCACATATGGAATTTATGCTATCACATATGGATTCTTTGAAACCCAAATGTGGCAATTTTGGCGATTAACAAAACTAACGAGAAAATGGGCTTCAACACTAAAAATTATTATGTTCGAAAAATCAGCATTCACTTGTTCATATTCAATAATTCATTCAGCGAGCTCTCTTCAGTGTGTATACGCTGTAGAGAACCTTTTGATAATCGTGATTCTTGCCCATGACACCGAATTGATGTTCCTGGACTTTCACTAACACTCTCGCACACTTCTTCGATATTGACACTTGAATAGCTTGAGTTTGGATGACCAGTGTGTTTAACATCACACATTGATGCAGTCTGCTTGAATTTCTCAGTCATTTTCTTCACAGTTGAAGAAGTTAAATCGCTATCCCAACTATATTGTGTACGAAATTTTCGAACTGTAGTTGCAAGACTTTCATTATTTTTAAAATATTGTTCAACAATGGAAACAACGCTGTGCGCTTGTATAATGCTCTATTTTTACTAATCCTAAACCATCAACTGTTAAATTTCCAAAGAAAAAGAAAAAAGAACTGTGTTTTATATTTAATTTAAATTGCATTAATTTTGTTTAAGAAACTAGAATTAGAAATTACTGCAGTGAAGTCATTCAGTTATGAGCAGACTTTTTTTTTTTGTTTTATTATTAAAAATAGAGAAAAAATTAAGCAAGTACCTTTTTTGAACATTTGCTAGTTTGAAAAGAAAGAGCATTACACCTTTTATGTAGCCTACAAATTATAAGATAAGTATTTTGAACTCAATATGCATAATCAATTTCTGTCAGTTTAGTTACTGTTAGTTTATTGAAATTTTAAAATATTCTTCTACTTCAGTCTAGTTTATTATCTGTAGTGACATTTCATAAGTTTAAATCAGTATGTATTTTGATGAATTTTCTCTTTGTGAAATGAGAACGTTGTGCACTTAGTGGTAGTACTACTTACGACTTATGACATAGTATTATTTATTATGACATAAATAAAAGAGTTTGATATCATTTTCGTGGCAAATAGAGTGTTTTTGTAGCAATAAATAAGGTTGAAATTCACCAAAATAATGACTTTTTGCAATATATTGACGATATCTGTTTAGAAACAATTTCTAGTGACTGTTCTGTGTATACAGTGATTTAGTCATACTATTTAAGTTTTATATATTTTTTTCTTTCTTACGATGGAGTTATCTCTTCTTTCAACATCAACTGGCCTTTGACATGTGTTGGAGTATAATCTTTGAAATCAATAATTTAGTCTTAAAAGTGTTATATATATATATATATATATATATATATATATATATATTACTTCTTGAAATAAGAAAAAACATAAATAATTAATTATGATGCTTTTCTGACAATTTACAAATTAAAGCAATTAAAAGAAATTTTAAAGAAGTTTTTGTCAAAATGTAAACATGAAAATTTCATTGGTGACTATTTGACAAAGCAATGTACAAGTTATATATTGGGTGTAAGAGCTTTTCCCTCATTTAGCATTTAATCCAGCCTTAGCTCCATCCACAATATCTTTCTTTAAGTTGTTATCTGGTTATTTGTCATTCCTATAGGAATATGGCAATGAACATTGTTCACAGCATTACCTGAGAAACACCACAAGGTTTTTATATTTTTTAATTTGGTGAATATTGATTTGTTTGTTGCATGTTGATAATGTATCAATTATAACTTTGTTAAAAAAGTTATAATCAACTGGTTTTTAGGTGTGGTTTTACATGATAAATATATGGTGGGTGTTCGTTCCTATTGGTCATTGGTTTGCTATCAGCAATTCAACAAAGTTGAGGTTCACATTCATCAAATGATTGTTTTTCTAAACCAAATTATTTAGTAGAGTTGAGTAAAGTTTACTTAGTTCCTGGTATTTATTAAACTTCCTTATCAATTAAAAAAAAAAAAAAAAAATACCAGTCCATTATTGTGATTTATTAATTTTTCTCTTAATATCCTAGATTGGGATGGTCATGGTCATAGTATTCATATGATTATGTTCATTTAATGAAAAGAACAATCTAAATTTCATCTCCTGTACTTTGAAATTTTAAATTTCAGAATCGCCTGGAAAAAAAAATTCTGAAAATGAAGATAATGACATTTCAATCATCATGAACAATTTAAAAAAACGCATCGAGGAAAGATATACCTCTTTAGACCCAAGGAAATTATCCAATTCTGGTCTCTCAATAGCTGTACGTATTTTTAATTTGTGCATAAGTTCAATTGTAATCTATTTATTTTAAGTTAATTTTCCATATATTAAAAAATATATATTTCTTTTATTTTTTTACTATATTTTTATCCAACTAGATGATTACTGCCATTCTGAAAATGATGCTTCTCTAATTCTTGTTGCAGAAGCCTAAACAATGCTTTTTTTTCATTCACAATATTAATAGATAGATACTATTTTTTCTTTAATTTAATGATTATTTAAAGGTTTATTATCGGTGAGTTCTAGTTACAATTTACTTTTTTACTTCTCTCGATTGTAATATATTTGGGATTCAAGTAATAGCTATGTGTTATTTCAATGCTTCAGCTTGTTTTACAGGCCTTTATTTGGGATACTAACAGTATAAAAAATATGATATGATGGAGCATGGGTCCCTGAGTGCGTCTGGTTTGGAATGTTGTGTTTGATTCCTACCTGGGTCAGCCAATAATTATTTCTCTGTGGTCCCGAGAAATGAATCTCATATGACCACAAGGTCTACTTGCTCCATTTGATGGACCAGTCTCTCCCCTTCCTCTTTCTTATCAATGACTATATACAAATGGTGTACAGCTTTTATATATCTTTGCTTCCATCTTGTTTATAGCCCTAATGAAGGCATCCAAAGGATGTTCTTATTTTTTACGGAGGTTGGCATTTTGTGAAGAACCGCATAGCAAATCTCTTCTTATGTTGAATCAACTTTGTAATTAACTGTCCTTCTTGTACTAGATTTATTATATAAGGACATTAAATCTAATGGACAATAATGATGGTTAAGAATAGAATTATACAGAGTAAGGTAACTGAAGGAGTTAGAAATGTTATTTAATATCAATTCAAAAGATACTTTTTCAATATAAGAATGGTTTTTTATTTTTCACTATTAAGTTCACTTGTTTGACATGATATGAATTTCTTCCCAGTTATAAGCAAGGACTGCTAATCAAAATAATATCAATTATAAAATTCAAAAGAATAGTATCTCTTAAATAGAGTTTTTATGTATTAGGATTAAGTTTAAAAGAAATAGATTTATATAGTATCATCAGTATATTAATCAAATTGTAAAATTGAATGAAATTAAGTCTTATTACTTTATAAACTAAGGTTTTATCTCTTCTTTTTTTTTTAGGCAGGAGGCACTGAAGAAAATAAACCAGATAAGAAGAAAGAAACACTTGCTAATCCATTTTCAAATTTAACACCAGCATGCCAAGCTGTTGCCGAAAGGATAGCTGAAATGGGATTTCCTCTTTCTCGAGCTGCTAGAGCTACTGAAATGTTTGGACCAAATGAAGCAAAGGTATGCAAAAAAAATAAACCATAAGCGGTAAGGAGGCCAAGCGAGCTGATGAATATGCAAAATATGTGTTGCCTGGCAGCCTGATAAACTATGAGATAAATTATGAATTTGTATCCTTGTGTTGGGGGGACTTAGTTATGCAAGATGATTTGACCTATATCATGTTCAAACGCCAGGTACTCTATTCAACTCCCTCAATCCATTGAAGGATCAGATAAACACTTCTTGTGGGCGGGGTGGCCGAATGGGCTAACACGTGTGCACAGCACCACTGTTGCCCGGCAACCTGATATATCAACCAAATGATATAAAAATAGTCGCGAGTTCCCGTCCCGGTGCCAAGAGAGTCTTTTAAATCCCTGCCCACACTCCCTGGCCCAGGAAAACCCTGAAAAAAAAAAAAACAAAAAAAAAAAAACAGTTCTTTGAAGCTGGCTATGTCCCAGGAAGGTCCCCTTGCCCCAGGTTCGATCCAGAGCTGTTATTACAGAATAAAGAAACAATCAGCCACTAGCAGACATAAATCTGAGAATGGAAGTCAGGTATCACTGCCTTATCAGTTGTGCTGCCTCATTATTTGTTTTCTTTATTAATAAACATATTTTTATATTAATTCATCTTAAATTGTTTTTAAAGCCAAACTTAGTAATAATGATTTTTAAAAACATTTAAATAGCAATAAAATCTTAATAGAGTTAATATTAGGGAAGGTAATATTAATATTAGACTTAGCCCACAAAGGGTAAACAAAGTCTTGGGCGTAGACCCACCAGAGATTTAATTTTATGTATTTGATACCATAGTGAACTTTTAAAATAGATCTTCTGATCCTTTGTTACATAATATAATGTTTACAGGTTATAGAATTCATGTTAGAAGTTCAATCTTTAGAAGAAAGTGGATATCCCGGAGAAAGAGTTGAAAGAGCACTGATCGCTTGCGAATTCTCGAGAGAGGACGCTTTGAGGTTTCTCGAAAGAACATCTCAAATAATGAAACTTGGATTCCCTGAAGAAGAAGTCATCTCTGCCTTAATTAAATCTGAATTTGATCGGGATAAGGCCCTAGATTCACTCATATCTTAGCCCTCTCGGCTCAGCTGCTACTGGGTGCCCCCCGTAATATGAATTCTATAGAAAAATTCTGATAAAACAATTTTTCAATGTGATATTGTGAAAGTATTGTGCTTATTATATATTTTAATTAATTTAAATGTATTTTTATTTAGAATTCAAACAACACAAATATTAAGTTATTTGAGTGGTGTATCAAATTGATTTCTGCTAAAAAAAAATTACCTATTTCATTTATATGTTTGTGAATGTTCAAATTAAAATAACTGTTTTATATATGAAGAAACACGGAGGGAAATGATCGATTTCAATTTTTTATAAAATGTTGGCTTGTTTCCACAAGAATTGATTTAAATAAAAAAATAACACTGTGCCCAAAAATGAAACTTGTGATGGGAAAGACTGAGATTCTTGTCATGATGGAGACTAAATGTCAATTTCAAAGTTAAAACCCAGTTTTGAACAGTATACAAATATATTTTATTATAGACCTGATTTTGTTTCTCATTCAAGACTGCTTAAAATCCATTCTGCTTCCTCGATACCGAAGGTTTGGAAACATAATTTTAAGTTAATAGTTTCAAAAATGGAATTAACAAATAAAATTTAAAAGTTGACATTGATCGTAATACCTTACACTTAATCTGTTAAATTAAAATTATACATTATATCCAAAAAACCAATACAATAGAAAATTTTATTTTTGGACTTTCTTGCCAAATAATTTTAAAATTATTTATAGAATGAACATGATTGTTAGGTGTTTGCATTACTATTTTAATTGAGAATATAAGTTCTTAGGAATTTTCAATGGTATAAAAAAAATTGTAATCTTTGCTGAAATGAGTTCACCAAGCTGTGGCTCACGCTTGCATGGTATTAGAAATGCTTTCTTTTCTTTGTATAATTTTTCTCTTTTAGAATATATATGTCTAAAATTATATTTTTACTGTTGCTGTAGCTTTCATATTCATTTTTGGATTATTGAGCTTAAAATTTAAATGGATTATTCAAAATTTCGTAAGTCAGTGTCTAAATGTTTTAATCAACAATAGTTAATAGTTCTATTGGTTGAATGTATTATATTAAATTAATTTCTGTTTCCCATCCTCGTGATATCAAACAAATACTTTTTGTGTGGTGTTTTGGCAGATATTTGTGAAATTCTACTCTTACACTGTTACTATGAATGTGATCTAATCTTTGCTTATTTATCTAGAATGTGTATTTATACATATTATGTATGTACATATACACATGCGTAAACACACACATATATTTATATTTACATGAGTGTGCTCTTGAATACAGGTAGATTTATAAATTATTTATTGTTAATTTGTTAAAATAAAACTGCGTCCGCATTTTTCGTTTTATTTGATCCTCATGATCCATTGAAAACTGTTGATTATTTGAACATATACTAAAAGATGAGTTCGAAGGAAGCTGTATAGGAGGATTCATAGATAGAAATAGGTAAGAAATTGAATAATTAAGAATTGGCCAAAAGAAGTAGTTCTATGGAGGAGGAATACAAATCAATAACTCAGTATCTTGTAATCAAAGATTAGAATTTTCTTCAAACAGTTTCGAAATACAATGTAGAATAAAGAGATTCTAATTCATGTACTAAGAAAAGATAAGAACTTGAAGAGCCTCATGAATCCAATGAAACAATTTATTTATGTTTTCATAATCCTCTTCTCATGAATAATAGACTGAACACTACAGGAGCCAACCTCATTTAAACAAATTGGTAGACAATAAGCTGATAAATCTTTGAAGGCAATATGAACTATTTAAAGATACATAATGTTATTCCGAGACAGATCACTGATAATTTCAAGGCTGTTAATACAGAAAGTAGAATAAGGGAGGGGGGATTTAGGAAATGAATGGATCTAATAAAGATGTGTAGACTACATTTTTCCCTCTGATACATCTGAAGTATAACCAATATTAGGGAAACGTTTATTCCTATGGACAATATATTATCAAAAAATCTATAACCAGTTCTGCCATAAATACTGTTACAAAAGTTGAACTTTGTTTACATTCTTGGGTATTATTTAGATAACCCTTACCTCAATCAGGTTATTTTCTTTACATGTCAGGATAATAATCCCAATTAGTTTGTATTTTCGATTCGCTCAGTTAACATGGAGTGGGGTGATAAAGAAAACCGAATAGCTGTGATTGCCTTACACAAAGTTGGAAAATGTAGGTCAGAGATTTTCAACACTTTGAAACATTTGGGTATCAGTCTTATGTTCATGCACTGCACTATAAATAGATATAATGAGACCGTATCTGTCTATGAGAAACCTCGAGCGGGCCATCCCTGCACTGTGAGAACAGCAAACACAGTGAGAGCAGTGGCTGCTCAAATCAGAAGAAATCCCATTCAAAAACAATAAATCATGTCTTGGGAAATGGAAATCTCTGTCAGATCAATGTCTCGCATAATAAAAAGTAATCTTTGGTCTAGGTGCATTTCAAAGAATGACGGGATAAAGGTTAACCACTTCCCTAAAAAAAATTAGAGTGGATAGATGTAAAGTACACCAATGGTCTTTATCGAAAGATTTTGTCAAGTGATGAGAACATTTTTACAATTGAAGAAAAATTTAACCACCAAAGTGGTCGTGTGTACTCACACTGCTCTAAAGAAGACCAGGAAGTCATTGGAAGACTGGAAAGAGGTCTCCAAACCCTTCCTCAGTAATGGTTTGGTAGGGAGTTTGCTTTGATGGCACGGCAAAGCACCATTTTTGTGAAAAAGGAGTTAAAACAGCCCCTAAAAAATATCAGAACGATATTTTGGAACCTGTTGTCAAGCCTCTAAATGATACTCTGTTTGCTAAAGGTCATTGGGTTTTCCATCAGGATTCCACTCCAGTTCACAAGGCCAGGTTAACTCAGCAATAGCTGCAAAAGAACATTCCAGACTTCACTCTGCCTCGGATTGGCCCTCAGGAAGCCCTGATCTCAAACCACTAGATTATCGGCTTTGGTCTGAACTGGAGAGGTTGGCATGCCACAGAACACACTGTACACCTTGGAAAGCCTCAAACAATCTCTGCTCCGAGTAGTTGAGCGCTTTCCTCAAGAAGTGCTGCGTGCTGCTATTGATGACTGGCCGCAAAGATTAAATTCCTGTGTCAAGACATAAGGAGGACATTTTGTGTAATTTATTTTTTGCTTTACTCTCTATAGATATACATTTTATTTTCTAAAAAGGTTTTTGAAAAAATTAATTTTTCTCTAGAAATCTGTATATATTTCCTTGTAACAATATTTATGACAGGATTTGGTATAACTGTTTTCGTCAAAATCCACTATTTCTGAGAGGCAGAAAAGGAATCTTTACTATTATACATTTTCTTTATTTAAAATAGAAATATTAATATTAATCTATCTAAATTAGATGTTCTCAAATTAGTTTTTATAAGTTTGTAATGTTTGCATCAGAAAAATTATTTGTTCCACCCAGCCAGGTGAAGCAGGAAATGAAATTCAACAAAAATTTTGCCAATTGAAAGTTCAGGGATAATTAGTTAAATTTAAGATTTATTAAATAAATTTAATTAAATTCTTAAAGCAGGAATCAAAGAAAAGTGTGGTCGATTTTGAAAGCTCCATTTAAATCTGAAATTCTTTCTGTTTAAAACTCAATGATTTTTATTATACAAATTCATAAAATATATAATGTAATAATTTTTTATTTCTTTTATATGGTTAACCTCAGTATGGAGCACATATTCATTATTTTGGGACGTTCATTTTCAAATATTTTAATAAAATATCACTAAATTAGTGTGAAGAAATAATAAATAAATGGTATATTCTAAAATGTTTTTTTTAATCTTTACTGAAATTATAATTACCAGCAAACTATAGAAAACACATTATCAACTCATAAAAACTATGTAGCACACTTTTTTATCTTAATTACGAGCATAAATGCCTCAGGACTTAAAACTTTATAAAAATAATAATAATAAAATTATAAAGTTATTATAGTAAGCTTTTCAATGCTATTTAGAATTATCTTATATTAATAAGAAAATAAAAGAAAGGATCACCAGAAGAAAGGATAAAGAAGAAGACAATTGTATATGATTTTGTTTCATATATATTTAAAAGTACCCTTATTTAACAATTCAAAGATCACAATGATTTTTAATTAATTTATTATAAACTATGAAATCAGACATCAATTATTCCTGAATTATTTCTGATAATAAAAAAATATGTAAATAGCTAATCTATATTATAAAATCACATTCACTTATAAACAGGAACCTGATGTTAAGGTTTCATAATGGACAGTTTTCAAAAAAAAAAAAAGGAAGTCTTCTAAAAGTAAACCTAATTACATATTAATAATATGTACATTTATTATACACATCATTTCAAAATTTATCAATGTTAGATGAAGTCGCTTTAGTTTTCATTCATAAATATCATAATCACCTCGTGTGAAGTAGAATCTAGAAAAATGTTTTAAACATTTCTTTTATAAATTAAAATAAACATACCTTACTAATAAAGCTCTAATTAAAATTTTAAAAATGATTATTGCAGAACTAAACTATATACACTACTCCTTCCTTCCACATTGCATTTAATCAGGTCTCCCTTTAATGAGATATATAATTTACACAGCCAGCAAATTTTATTTTGCAATGACAATAAAATAAGATTAAGTCTGTACCAATAAATTGAAAACTTGGTCTTTTTTATTTTTGGAATACAACATAATTAAAGTAAACGCAATCACTTAATTCAGATGGCATTCTGTTAACTGACACTAGGCAGAGAGATAATCGATATTTTCTTACTTTATTATTAACAATAAAATCAAACTATGTCAAATATCTTATAGTCAAGACGGTGGGACTTGGAAACGAGAAATAGTCAAGTGATGGTAAAAAAAAAAAAAAAAAAAGTAATTTTAATAAGAAACTGTTATACGTTACCAATAATTCACGTATGAAATATTAATGAATGGTATATTGAAGATTTACTTCTAAAAACTAGTAGTCCATTTTGCTACTAAAACAGTAATCTTGTAAGTAAATAATGCTAACTTATTTATTTTAATAGAAATATGGGTTTTGGTTTTCTTGCATAAAATTTGTTTTTTAGGGCTTACAAGATTTTAGAGGTAAGCCATAAATTTGTTCATAAAAATTAAAATATTAAATATTAATACCAATATAATATTTTTCAGAACTTATTACAACACATTTCCATTTTATCTTTATGTCTATAAGAACATTTTTGTATAATTTATTTTGATATAAAAAGAATCAAAATTTTATAATTTGGTAGGAAAAATCAATTTATCAACTAATGAGTTGATGCAGATTTTTTCTAGTCATGGCCCAATACATTTTCATGAATAATTGTCTTCTTCATGATTAGTTTCAATTATTTATTTTTTAAAAATAAATATAATTGGAATAATTAAACTCTAAATTTTTCATAAGAAACATCTATGAAATTCTTATATGTTTTTTCTAAAATGTTAGATGATGGAGTGTGACAGGATTTCTTACTGTTGTACTTGCAAAATGAGGAGTCGCCATCTGCATTCTAATAAAAGATATATAGAAGGTATATGCTCTGCGTGAATGGAAGGATGTGTATAATTAGGAAATAAAGAGATCTTATATTTATTATTATATAGAAATCCCCCTAATTCTACTAGCAATTGTAAATATAAAACTAAAGTAAAAAATAATATCTTCTAGTTCAGAGGTGTCCAAACTAAATCTGGTGAGCCAACACCCAAGAGCCCCTGATCTGTCCGACCATAGTTTTTCTCACTTCTTATTACATTATAAAATTTACAATATTAGTAAATAATACAAAATAATTATCTGTTTTTTTTCTTTGAATGTCCAATCCAAAAACATGAGGACAGACAGATATGAAACTGAACATTTTAAATGTAATTAATGACACGAACATGTTGGTATAATAAGCTGGCTAGTTTTTCGTGTATTTGGGACTTTGCGAAGAAGTCAAGTAGATTCCTTAGGGGTTAAACGTTTGGAAACTCCTGTTCTAGTTGATAAAAGCAAAATTTTGAATAATGAATGAGTTAAAATAATGCTTACATTATCAAATGAATAAATTGTATATTGTTGGTTTATTGCGAAAAGCCATTTCACCACTAATTTGATGAATTTTATTTTTTTCTTAAGACGGAAGATCCATGAATATATAGTGTAAGGAAAAAAAGCTTTTGTGAAATCGGAAAAGAACTTGATTTTTTTCATCAATAATTATGATCAGAATTCACAAATACGCACTTAAAAAAATTAGCTTGATGATAAATGTGCTGTGACTTTTTGCAATAAACAAGCAATATATTCATCACAAAAAACATTAATCAACGTTTAAATAATCTTTTTTTTTTTAAATAAACTTTATGTTCCATTCCTCATAAAATACTTTATATATTTTTTTTGGAATAATTACTAATTAAAAATCAATAATTTAAAAAATAATAACGAATTATAAATATTAAGGAAGGTGAGACAGCACAAATCTTAATTTTTATCAACCTAGATTCAAAAATGAACATGTTGATTTCTTACAAATTAACAATCAAATAACAACTAGGATTATATCTATTAAGAATAGATCTATTAAAAAACAATATTAATATTAAAAAAAAAAACTGCAGTTCCATCAAAATTTTATTTTGCATAAATTAAATTTTTTTTAACTAGACGCTTAGCCCCAACTATTTTTTTTTTTTTACTGCCAATTCCAAATGTATTAAAATAAAATCTGGTATTTAAAAATCATATACAAAAATTGTTGGCAATTTTTAATTAGCAACAATTAACCAATATTTTTGAGAAGAAAGAAATTTTTATATTATTCAGATGAGAAAAAATTTAAGTATGAAATTCTCTGTTATAAACTACAATAAACAAAACTCGTAAAAAGAATTAAAAAAAAAAAGTTTAAACAAAATCAAATTAATTTATAAGCTATTGATATTTATTAATAATTTTTTTAAGACCGATAATTAGATTTTAGTCTTAGATATAAATCTGTTTTGACTTCGAATTCGATATGAAGTTCAAGTTCAAATTTATAATAATTATTCTTTCTAATAATTTAGAAATTTAGTTAAATTAAACCTAAAAAAAATGTATTTCACGATTCATAAAAATTTATGTAATTTAATCATTAGAGTTTCTATTTTGGAAGTCCAAAGCTTCATCACTAACATTTCCTAAATGAGCAATAAAAGTTTTGAAGAACATCACATTTTATATGAATTAAAAAAATATTTATATATGTTTACGATTTTGTCACTAAGAATTAGCTTGAATAGTTTAGTACGACTTAAAATCCATAAGGAAGATAGATTAGGTCCAAAATTTACTGTTCACAGACCTTTGTACTAAACCTCCTGGTAACGAACCGAAACCAGATTAACAACAAATAAAATGTACTGTTTTTTATTGTTTTTATTTTGACCACGATAAAAATCATGGCATTGGCTATATTGTCTGTTATTAACTCACAGATATTAACTTGGGGTCTTCCTGTAACTTTTTCTCTCAATGCCTGGAATACAAAATTAATTCTAAAAATCAAAATAGGACTAAGGACTGTATTAGAAAAAATTATAGTTCTTTGAAAAAGATCTTTTATAAAAGATGTTTGTCGAAGAACGTCAAAAACATATTACTAACCTAATACATATATACAGATCGAGAACATATATTATGATCCAAATAATTAGAAGTCTAAACTTAAAGTATTCCATTAGAAATTAAACTTTTTGAAATAACAGGTTTTCATAAATCAATGTATATATGCATGTGAAATATAGATTAAAGTTTTGATTTTGAATACAAAGTTATAAGATCTTTTTTACTTATCAATATAAAACGAATATAAAAATATAAGGTACTCCTTAAATAGCTGGTGTGGTCAAAACCTCCCTTGTTATCTAATCTTATACCAAATAACCTCCCTTCTTATCTCATCTAACCTAAGTTATTATTCCATTGTTTATTTTTTGTTCCTCGTGCAAGCTGTGAGTTATTCCATCGTTTATTTTTGACGAATTGCCATCTTCAGAAGAAGAGGCTATCAAATATTTTCAAGACGCCGAGATAATTGCAAAGACGGTCTCACAGAGAAGAGGACCCGTTCCTCGCTATTTTAAATGGCATAAAACTATTTTCCCTATCAAAATAAATTAAGTGAAAATAAAATTGTTTTTATATACATATTTTGCTTATATTGTTTTTTTTTTTGTATGTATATATTTTGTTAGTGTTTTTTTATTATTTCATTTATTTTTGTCAATTTTTTGCCTATTTTTATTACTTCATTTATTTTTATATATATGTTGTAATGTTTTCTCATTATATATGTATAATGTTTTGGTCTATTTAATATATATGTTGTAAAATAAAAGTATTTTATTATTACATTTTTTTTGTTTACAATTTCAATAATATGGATATAATACAATAAATATGAATATGGAGATAGAAATTATCAGTGCCTTCTCAGAATTATCAGTGTTAAAGTTATAAACATTGGCAGATAGCAGTCGGACCCTACCTGCTATTTAAGGAGTACCAAATATAAATATAAAACATTTACATGGAAAGTTTGATTTAATACTCAAAATAAATACTATAAAATGTCATAGGATTAAAATTATCCTTAATGCATTCAGATCAACTTGTCTTGTTCAAAAAATTATTATATGGCTCAAATTACTGGTATTTATATCTTTCCACTGTCAGAAAAACATTGTCCATCTCTACTCTGAGGGATGCTAAAGAGGTGTAAGTTTGAAGTGAAAAAACAAAACAGAAATTAAACCTCAATGAATGCTGCTTCTATCATTCAGTTATTCTTTTAAGCATATCAAGATATTTTTAGTGGCACAAACATTTATAAGAGATCTGTAAATCAATCTGTTAAAAAGTACCAGTGGTTTGTTATATTTTGAACTAGCATCAACCCAGGAAACGATTAAAGCTTGACAAATTTCATATGGAAAATAAAATTAAAAAACAATGGGTACAAAAAACATCCTATTCCCATACTTTTGATCTCAATCAGTGCAAAAACACTGGCAAGTGCTTCTACTTATGGCAGAAACACTATTGATGAACACAGTGGCTAAGTTGAAGGGTATTATCATTATTATTTTTTTTTCTTTTAATCTGATAATTGGATAACCTTGGACCTCTTTAGTATTTCATATCAGGCAGTACGAATTTCATAAATAGATACTTTCTATGTGGTTGATTTTGAAAGGCAAAATGCTTATTTAGATATAGAAAATAATTAAGTTTTTTTTTTATTCTGTTTTAAAAATTATTTTAATATCATTATTTATAATGTAATAATTATTTATTTTTTCAAATTAAAATAAATAACATCCATTTATAAGTTTCCTATTTTAATTTAATTTGTTTTAGATTGATGAAAAAAAGAAGTATATATATAGCATTAACCAAATTTGATATATAAAGATGATTATCACCTCATTTTGCCTCTGCTCTCATCTCCATAGGCGGGGATGTAGTGGTATGATCACATCCAATAGCTTTTCCTTTTATATAAACAGGTTGGCCTTTACCCTTAACACATTCTTCTGTTATATGGACGGAAACAATATCTGACCCCGGAATCTCAAACATAGTTTCCAAAAGCAAAGTTTCCTAGAAATATAAAAATATTAAGTGAACACACATAACCAATAATTACATAGCACTGAGACACAAAAATCACAGATAATTAAGAAAAAATAAACAGTAATATAGTACCGCAAATGGCACAACCCCTTTAAGATTTTAGCTCTCTACAAATAATCTCTTCTCTTTAGAGAAATAAAATTTTTCATTAAATTAATCTTAATAATTACAATCTACTGAACCATATCTACCATATTTAATTTTTATCCTAAAATTTAAATAAACTATACCATTATAGCTCTAAGTCCTCTAGCTCCTGTTTTTCTTTCCATAGCTAAAGCGGAAATCGCGTGCAGAGCACCAACTGAAAACGTGAGATCAACCTTATCCATATTAAAAAGTAGTTGATACTGGTTAACGATAGCATTTTTAGGCTCAGTTAAAATTCTCACAAGTAAACTCTCGTCCAAGGAATGAAATGGAACAAGAATAGGGAAACGACCAACAAATTCCTGCAAAAAAAAAATTATATTTTAGTCATAGAGATTGATTATGATATCTTTTACATTGCTTAAAAAACAAACAAAAAAACAGTTAACTTATGAACAGAATAAGAATGGAGTTTTAAAATAAAAAGTCTTGGTTCAGTGTTTATTAACATTTCAGAGACTTATGGTTTTTAATTATCGTTTCAATTAAATTTAACAGGTGTGTAATAAAAATCTCCATAGTGTAATGTTCTTAATTCTCCAAAGTATTCATATATTTTCATTCATATATTTAATAATAATACATTATTGAAAATATTCATGTATTTGTGGAAAATATGTTTCAATGAGTATAAAGATTCCTTAAAATAACATGGAGAGTGAAATCCTAGTTATTATATCTTAATCGGGAATCACGATGTGGTTTTTCACAGAATAGTAACTCACAGGAGATTTGGTTGACGGGCAATCAGTTTTAAGTAAAGAAATATATGTTATTGTGCCTCTATTGACCCTTAAACAGTGATAATCCACCGGTATATTATAGATGGATTTTTCTCTGAGTTCTCCTCAAAGGGATCGGTTACTGGAATTCAATGTTGCTTAAAGGATTCTGATGGATCACTCTGAGCTACATGTACTTCCACACACTAAATATTCTTCACTTTCTGTATGATCATGGGGCGGGGTGGCTGAGTGGGATAAAGCAGGTGCAAAATGCGTTGCCTGGAACAACCTACGATAAATTGAAGTTTACAGGTTCAAATCAAGGTGCTGGGGGAACTTTTAATTCTGGCATGATTCCCCCATCCTCTCCCTTGGATTCCTGCCTCCACGGAGGTTCATTCTCAATACCCTGCAAGAGACAGCATTTTGTACTGATACAGAAGAATAAAATAAATTTGGAGAACCTGTCGACTTATCGCCTAATCTATCTGATGGACTCTATAGGGAATGTTTCTGAGAAAATCCTTTGTCTCAGGCTACAAGAATTTACTGAGAGTAAAAAAGGTCTGTCAAAGGCCCAATATGGCTCTGAAAAGAGAAAACTACAAAGGATGCTATTGGCCTCGTGACTGATATTATCTACAACGCAATTGCAGGAGTAAGGTGGAGAAGGGGACCGAAGTGTGATGCGGCAATCATTGCCTTACGAACAACTGCTGTGCCTGATTATCTTATAAGGTTTATCACAGGCTACTTCAGGGATAGACTTTTATGACTCAGACTTCGAACCAAGGATATATAATGTCAATAGTGGTGTCCCACAGGATTCCGTCTTAGGACCTCCTATGGAACATCATGTTTGACGAGATTTTTAGGCTACCACTGCCAAAAGGAGCTACAGTTGTAGGCTTCGCTGATGATGTCGCAGTGGTGGAAGTGGCGAAGTATGTTGAAGAAGTTACTCTGATTGCTAATCAAGCTGTTGCTTCTAACCAAGGCTGTCTTATATGGGCCTGCAATTTGCTGAGCACAAGGCTGATCACATTCCTTTTCATTGACAGAAAAAAAAAAATGGTGACCATCACTATCATAGAAGGTAGGCACGAGATTCATTCTCAGCCATATCTGAAATACCTGGGAATCCTCATTAATGCATGTCTCAGGTTCAATGCTCATGCAGAGTATATCAGCGCTAAAGCTTCTAGTGTCATATCCTTATTATCACACCTTATGACAAACATAGGAGGCCCGACAGAGAAGCAGAAGGCTTCTTGCGCAGTTATACCTTTGATTCTTTTATAAGGAGCTCCAATTTGGAAAGAAGCAATGCTCACAGAATCGTATAAGAGACAGATGGTCTTGGAGTATCGCAAAACTTTATTAAGGGTAGTAGTGCATGCCACCATCCATGCAAAAAAAAAATTCACACACGCACCCAGACCATTTTGCAAGACTTGGTTATTTAGAGTCAGGGAATCTCAAAACCTGTATTTCTGTTGTAAACCCAGATTTTCACAATCGCAATACTTTCCTATACTATATATTTCATTTCATTTATGTAGGCAAGTGAAAGTAAAAATAATTCAGCAATATACACTAGGACAGCATAATTAATTATAGAGTTTAAAAGCATTTACTAACTGGTATCATTCCAAAATCAATTAAATCTCTCGCTTCAACTTGTTTAAGTAGTTCATCCTTTTCCTTATTGTCTTCGTGGACTGAGTCACCTTGATTTTCAATATCAGCTGATAAAGCTGCTCTACGACCATTTTGAGGACCACCTCGCATACCAAACCCGAGCACCTAAAACATTTTGCATTTTCATTTCAAAATTCCAATAGGTTGATAAAAAAAGGTTTAGATTTATATACATAAATTTTAAGATAATGCTAAAGTAAATTTAATACAAACCTTTTCATTTTTCCTGCGACGTACGAATCGATCCAAACCATTATAAGCTCCCGAAGCAACAAACAGGATATTAGTAGTATCCACTTGAACTGTTTCTCCTCGCAACTTTCGAGGTGAATTTCTTTCTGCTACATTTACAATAGTTCCTTCAAGCATCTAAAATCATTTAGAAAGTGTACATTAAAAAAAAAAAAAAAAAAATGAACAATACAAGATTCACAGTACTATAAAAAGATTTTTATTGACTTAAAGACACATCTCCTTATAATTCAGGAAAATTAATATGGAAATAAGATGTTTGCATATTGGAAGGAAAGACAATCATACTTTTATGCTTTCATTAAACCAAACATATGGAAATTACAAAAGAGGAACTCGAGATGTAATGGGCACCTTTTCAGAGTGAGCCGTAAAAGAGTTGTGAAGAATGTCTTTGCAAGGTTTTGAAGCCTTATTCACAAAAACAAGGGCTTTCTTACATCCATTGATTAGTAAAACTACTTAACACCAGTATTATTGAAAAATCACAGGATCTCACTTTACTACTTCTGAGGTTTTTATAATATTATAGATAGGGCTCTCAGAATTTAATCTTTTTTTTTTTTTTTTTCCTTTCTTCCCTACCTCACTTTTTAGGCTATACTGGGTTTTCCCGAGCCGAGGAATTTAAAATCCCCTCCAGCAATGGGACAAGAACTAGTACTTTTTTAATCTCACAACTTCAGTTATCTGCTTGCTAGGCAACTCGCAGTGCTGAGCACACACATTAGCCCATTCGGCCACCCCATCCCCTAGAATTTAATGATCTGTAAATTATATAAAAGGCAAAATACAATTCTTAATATGAAAGTACCTTGAGCATACCCTGCTGTACTCCTTCGCCACCTACATCCCTCAACTGATGAATTCCAGGAACAGCACCTATTTTGTCCACTTCATCCAGAAAAACTATTCCTGAAATTTAAAATAAGAAAGAAAAGTATAATTACCAATTGTAATACAATTTATTTTTTTAAATAAAATTGTTTACTTTCCTGCTACTACCGAGCTCTTCATTCAGAGTTTGATTTAAATGAATATATTAAAATTTATTACATACTAGAGCTACAACCAAACCTATTCTAATCGGAGTAGAAAGTTGATATTCATTTCTCACATCTGTCCAGTTTTGAACCAGCACCGCTGGATTCAACAATAATATAGCGAGCAAGACTCTAACACTCAAGGCCTCCATGAATATTCAACTAATTTTTTTTTTTTTTTTTTTTTGTTCTTCCCTACCTCGCCTTTTAGGCTATACGGGATTTTCCCGGGCCAGGGGGTGAGGGCGGGGAATTTAAAATCCCCTCCGGCACCGGGACGCGAACTCGTACTTTTTATATCATCTCAAATCTCTATTATCCGGTTGCCAGGCAACTAGCAGTGCTGTTACACACGCTTTAGCCTATTCGGTCACACCGCCCCCCAAAAAATTAAAGTATTCAACTAATTTAATCCTTTACAGTATACAAGAATACTTGATGTGGACAATTCTCTTTGCTTACATTTTGAAATAAAAAGAAAACTGCTCCTCCCCATTAATAAATCAACGACAACATAGTAAGGGATTTTTTTTTAATACATTTTCAATAAAAAAGTAAATTATTTATAATAAATTTTATGAAAAATAAAAAATTGCATTATATTTTCATTTAAAATTAAAATGACATTAGCAATGTTACAATTGACTTTAGCAATAAATTAGACTTAGACTTAATTAGAATTTAGCTGTATCGTGAATTAATACTTTCAAGAATCTGGCAAACATTTTCTACAAACACAAATTTTCTTGTTGTAAAATAAGATAATTTGTTTAAATTATAATTTTTGGTAGAAGTGAGGATACATAATGGGAATGATACAATGAGACTCAGAGTAAACTAGTTCTCTGATATTTTATTTTTCATATAATCCTGCCCTGAGATCGATTTATTCCGAGAACTAGACTTAATCTAAAAGTAAGCTTAATTCTTGACGTCACAACCAGCTTTGAATAATCAAGATCTAGACAAGGTTAGGTTTTAGACACATAGATCAACCAAACAGGATACATCAAGCAAAGTAAAGAGTAACATGAACATGAGTAACACTTCATAACATGAACTGGCATTAAATTTTACTCATTAAATAAACTATAACCCAAAGAATGTAACAAGAACAATATTCTTTAAGGAGTAAAGAAAATTAAGTAACACAAAATTCTTTATTAAATCATATTTACCTGTCTGAGCTCTATCTACAGAAAAGTTAGCATCCTGAAGCAGTTTTGAAATGACACTCTCTATATCTTCACCAACGTACCCTGCTTGAGTTAGAGTGGTGCAATCACAGATAGCAAATGGAACGTCTAAACACTGGGCGATTGTTTGAGCCAATAATGTTTTACCTTAAAATAAAAAAAATCCAAATATCTCTCATTCATTTCTTTATTATTTTATAAACTATCATTAGCACTTAAAAAAAAATTAAAAACAATAATCCTTTTGGCAAACAATTGATACAGAGATGTAATAGTAGCAACGATAATAATAATATGTTCTAAGCCCTTAGGAAACATTCATAAATAAAACAGCGCACATACCTGAACCAGTGGGTCCTAGGAGAAGAATGTTACTCTTTTCCAGTTTTGTATCATGGCTAATTGATTCTAAAGCTTCAGATCCCAAGCTGGCAACTTGTCGCGTGTGCCTCGTGTGGTCATGGTCCACGAAGCCAGTACCCATTCCAGAGCCACCGCCGCTGCTAGGAGGACCGCCAACACCTATGCCAAGACCATTTATGTGCAGCAGATCTGCAATAAAGAGAACCCAAAAAATGGGCAAGCTAGACTAGCTAAACTGAATTCCAGCTCAATTCAATCAAAATTATTTGCTTGTTGAAAATTTATGGGCTGATCTAACAAAGATAATAGCAAAGACAATGAAGCATTTAAAATTACTACTATTTGTAATTTAAAAGTACTACCTCTATGTGTGAAGGCGTAATTAGGAGACTGCTCCATCACTGCCATATCATGGCGCTGCTGAACCGATGGAGAAGGGAGGTTGTTATAAATTCTCTTGTAATGATTGTATACAGCAACCGATAGTACTTTCTTAGCATGCTCTTGACCGACAACATGTTTATTTAGGTAATCATAAATCTGAAATAAAAAATCAATGATGCTGTATATACAATGTTTAGTTAGATAAATAAAGCAAGGATAAAGAATCTACTATTAAATCTCCAATAATGTTGAAATCTAATCCTGGCCCCTATTTCTTAGTACAGCTGGTAACCTTAATTAGGGGAGCCAACAAGTTGAAAACATACTTGTAAGAATAGGCTAGAGAAAAAAATGTAAAAATAATAACAAACAGTTTTTTGTTTTATTATTTTTTTTATCTTTTGGGGGCCCACAAATTAAAAATACTCCAAAAAGGCTATTTTATCAATTAAAAATAAAACATAGCTCGGCCTAAACATAATTTTGAATTGCTAAAAAATAAATTTATATACCAATTAATAGTAATTTAAGGCAATTATAGATAAATTGGTCCAACGGCCCACAAAAGGTTCAAGGGGGTAGGGTCAGGTATAAATGTTCAATCCTAAAGGTATTCTAAAGATATAGTGCCTGATTTATTACTTGACTAACGTCAGGTACTCATTTAATGACTGAGTAGATCCATAGATAGACTATTATTATCATCAATTTAAAATTATGCGAAACTATTATGAAACAAACAGGATTGAAACCGGTGCTAAACTGCTTCCAACAAACTACTAATTTATAATTAATTGAGAATGGAAAATTAATAATTTTTTTTTTTAATACTGCGCAAATCATTTTATAAAGTAATCTTAAACTAAATTTTAACTTTGATTTGACAAATACTACTTTATTATAAAAATTATTAATAACAATCTCCGATCAATTAAACAATCAAGTCTTAGAAAACTGTTGCTATTCATAGATAAAAAATACTATACAAAACAATATATTATATAGGTAACCCAATTAAGAGCCAAGGAATTTGTTTTGGACAAGGTCATATTGTTTATAAAGAAACAAAAACAGGGAATCAACATTTGTTGTTTATACAGGACATATACTTCACCTTGATTATATAAAAATACGGACTAGTTGAAGGTGGGAGAAAAAGATGACCAAAAAGTGGCAAAAAGCCAAAACACTTATTTTACTCCTTGTTTACAAGCACGTGCTATAAATAGATTGAAAATATATGTACAAATGAAGAAGTAATATTGAACAGCAAAGATATCTTCAAAGTTCTTTATAAATATAAATACATAGGAAACCATTCATAAAAATGTAGAATACCTTCTTAGGAGGTGGAGGTGGCTTTCGAACAAAGGAACCTTTAACTTCTTCTCTTGCATGTTCCTTGACACTTTTCTTTGCATCCATTTCAGATAACACAACAAAAAAGTGATGACATTTATCACATTTAACAAATCTAGTTGAAGCTGAAAACAAAGACATTAATTGTGAGCATATTTTAAACTGATTAATATTTTATAAATAATTATTCAATGCAAATAATAATATAATAAAATAAACTTTCTTGAGAATTTATGAATTATTTTAATTTTTACCAAATACCAAAATAAAATATGTCTAGTTTTTTAACTAAGAGAATGTATAATAATCAGCTCTATACTTTTAAGTGAAACGAAATCTCTGAAAATGCAATAGAAACAAGTTAAATAGTAATAATTTCTAAAACTTATCTAAATAAACAATCGAACACCATATTACATTCATGATTCAAGGATCAGAGAAAATTCCGTATAAGCTCAGAGTAGCTCAAGGTCGTAACATTGACCTGACAAGTTTTGGAACATTTAGCAATCAACTACTGGAGAATGTCATTACCAAGATCACCTAGCACAAAAGGAATAACTAGATATCCTTGAGCTCATTTTCAATAAAAAATTATTAAAAAAAAGAGGTCCTTTAACAATTATAAAAATTCTTAATGCACAGTGTTTACATAAATAGAATGATAATATTAAGATTCATGATAAAATTAATGAGTAAAATGTTTTATAAATATAATGAATAATTAATGCATTACATAAACACTAAATATTATTAGTTTATGTAAGTAGATGCTTACATAACAGTATCTTACTCCTTAAATACAATGAACTTACAAACAAATGTTTCAACAAAAGTGCAGGGATCCCCACAGCGTGGGCAAGAAAGCTGTCCATCTTTCCCTTTTCCAGTTCCAGATCCTTTCTTACCAGCACCAAAACTTCCTGCAATGCCATCTGGACCTTTGCCACTAGTTGGTCCATGAGTTGGAGGTTCGGGACCAGTAGCTGATTTAAAAGCTACAGAAGTTGTTACAAGATGTCTCCCATTTTCTGGTCGTAATTCGTAAAACAGTAAATCTAAATTGTACAATTCATTAATTATATTCAACATAATTCGGACAAATACAGAACAATCTAGAACAACTTTTAGAGCCAAGGGTTAATATCTAATAAGGATAAGAAAATTACTCTTATAATGTTTAGATGTCTTCAACAACTTTAAAGCAACCAGTCCACTTCTCACTGTTGTCATCTTAAAGAGTCAGCTGCTAGGAAAAATAAACCAAGGTGCTCTATGGTAGGGGCATCAATACATTATTTCAGAGATTAAGTCCTAGCCTACAAAACAAATTCTAGTTATGAATTTTATTAATGAATGAAAATGATATTTCAGAATAACAGAATTCAACATTTCAGAGACTGGTGTGACACAATCAGTAAAAGAAATATTTTTCAATTAATCAAAACTTAATTTTGAACTTCTCAATTTAGGGAATAAAGTGACAAAAGGATAATATTATTAAAACGTAAACTTTATTAGGCCTTACATTATTGTTATTTGGAGATTATTCATATGCATCACACAGCTGATTTAGACGTTTATCTTCATTTAATAAGTTAATAATAGGTGAACGACTAATTAAAATTACGTTGAAAACCAACGCAGTAGATATTTTATACTTTATCCAAAGATGTAATAAACCACTAAAACGACGGACTTCCACAAATCAAAACTAACCACAGAGGAACAGTACTAGGACTAGCAAGAACTAACCAGCTATCTCTCAGCTGTGTCAGTAGGGGTATCAGCTGATTACATGTGAAGGTGATAACAGTTTCGAAATTACGTTTCATTTACTTCGACCGCTCTCTTTTATTTTGTTTATTTATTATTATTATTTAAAATTTGGAAAGTATGATGTTTGGATAGATTGAGAGAGTGTTAATTTATTTATTGCACAGCTAAAGTTTCAACTAGGAATCAATGAATAGCTCGAACTTATAATTTTAATGCAGTATTCATTTTATTTCAAAAACTTCTTACCTAAATATACCACAAGTAGTTTCAATATTTTAAATAAATACTCATTTTCAATGGAAGAAGCTCAGGACTCTTTGTTGGATAACTGTAGAAAAATTCTACCAGTTATGAATGAAAATTCACACAAAGGTTTATCTGGAAGAATCGGGGTTTTTGGTGGTTCTGTAGAATTTACTGGTGCTCCTTACTACGCTGGAATAAGTGCCTTAAGAACAGGTGCCGATCTTGTTTATGTTTTTAGTGCTTCAAGTGCAGCTCCTGTGATAAAATCTTACAGTCCTGAATTAATGGTTCTACCCTATCTAGATTGTGAAGATGCGATGGAATTGATTTCTCCTTGGTTGGTTAGACTACATGGAATCTTGATAGGCCCAGGGTTGGGTAGGAACCAAGTGACATTCAATATCATTCAAAATCTTATTTCTGTACTAAAATCTAATCCAGGACAAAACGGATTATTTAGACCAATTGTTTTGGATGCTGATGCCTTATTTTTTTTGTCAAAGTGTCCTGATATTTTAAAGGATTATCCTGGAGATGTGTATTTGACACCAAATGTTATGGAATTTAAAAATCTTCTGAAAAGTGTCTTAAATGTAGATGCCAGTGAAAATAAACCTCCTGAAGTTTATATTGAAGAATTATGTAAAGAAATTGGTGTAAATGTTACTATTGTTCTCAAAGGCAAAATTGATATGATATGTAACACAGATAAGATTCTGCAGTGTAAGTCTGAAGGGTCATTCAGGCGTTGCGGTGGTCAGGGTGATTTGTTGTCTGGTGTTCTTAGTACCTTTGTGTCTTGGGTTGCTATTCGGAGATCTAATAATCTTCCTCAAATTATGGACAAATACACAGATAATATGCTAGCTGGTTATAGCGCATGTAGTATAACAAGAGCTTGTAATAAGGTAGCATTTCAGTTAAAAGGTAGAACAATGCTCACTACAGATATGATTTCCGAATTCAGTAGAGTGTATTCATTGTTATTTAATGAAACGTGAGATTTTGTTGCTGGAAATCATTGGATATTCAATATATATTCATTCCACTCTGATACTGCGTCTTCAAAAATGAACAAATGTATTATATTACATGATAATATTATTGATATTTTTTTAATAAACATATGTAAATAATTGTTAAGACCTTTGTATGTGTCAGATTTAGACGTATGCGCTAGGCAATCAATTGTTAATTATTGACTTAAGTTTTAAAATTACTTGATTTAATTTTTATTACTTTATATAAAGAAGATTTTGAACAAACAGTCTTTCTTTAATTATTAGTAGAAAATAGTTTATTTTCCTATTTCGTTTACTGATAATTAGCTTGAAATCTTTCATTTCAATGTGATTGGGTTCAATCAAAATTTGTCCTTGAAGAAAATCAATTGTTAAATAATCCATTGGCAAAACAATAACTCTATTATGTTTCTTCTAATTTTACTATACCTACTAAAATATTATTACGTTTCTGTAGATTGACTGTTGCTTAAACACAATATTATCAAAATATATTTTTATAGAATTCTCATTGAATTTTTTGTGTAAATTATCAATTAGAGATTGATTTGTTAATGAAAACATATATTTTTTAAGAATGTTCTGAGAAAAAATATCTCCAAAAAAAATCATTATAAAAATATATTTTTTTAAATTTTATAAATCTTGAACAGTGGACGAGCTCTGTCCTAACTCCCAAGTTTTTCTTATACTGACTTCCTATTTTACCCAAAATCATGAATTTTTTATATTGATTACAATTCGTTTTGTTTGTTAGGTTATTTGTGATATTCTGAGAAGTATTGAAGAGTGATTGTATAATTATCAATGGGAAATCCCACTAAATCTTGATTATCTAACTCGAACTGTTGATAAATAAATCCATAATAAATTTTAAGATTGCATTTAACTATTTAAATATTCAATTAGATATTTTGTTCCTCATGTTAAGATAGCAGAAATACCTTTTTTATTTGGTATGGTTTGATCCTAGAAAGCAATATCTCATGCTGTGGAAATAATTTTTATTTTTAGAATAGAAGTTGCATTGTTTTCTTTTCCCTTTTAAAAATCTACCACAGTAGGTATTGTTTTTAATATTATTTCATATATTTTTAAAATTTAATTTAAAGTATTTTATTAATAATTTCTTTGCAACATTTTTCTCTTATGAAAACTAGAACTATGTTCAGGTTAATAATTAGTGACTTAAAATCACTCAGAAACTAAATATTTAAATTGTTCTAAAAACCAGAAATTGAAAATTACAATAATTTTTGAGGAAAAACCTTTGTTTATTCAAAAGAGAAGCTGAATTAGGTCAACGTAAATTCTTTTGTGTAAGATAAAATCAAGTTAACACTGGAGATAGTATAAATAAATAAATAATTACTGGATGTTATTAAATAATAACTATATTTTAATGAAAATCATAAAATTATTTCAATTTCCAAAAATAATATTTTAAGCCATCATGTCATTCTTATCAATATTAAAATAATTTAAATGATGAAAGAAATGTGATTTTTAGTTAGAACTTTCTTGCAATAAAATCTACAAACTTATTATCTTGATTATGGTATTTCCCAAAATAAAAACCAGAGCTATTCGCAAGCCACCAAAATGTATAAGATTGAAGTTATTAATTTGTGAGGTGTAATAAATTGGAAGCTTTGACTCAACTTTTTTTTTTAAATGAATCTTAAATTTTCTATTTCAACTTACTCATTTTTTGTTTTATTTTTGTTCTGAAAAAAAATAAAAATACCAATATGTTATCAGAAATCATTACAGCTTTAAAGTAACAAAGGTTGCAACAACAGGTTTATCTAAATAATACAGCACTGAAAAATATTTTCATTCCATTTATTTCAATAAAATATAAACACTATGATTATACAATAACATGTTGGGCATAATAAATTATTATATTTTTTAAAACAATTTATTGTGCATTCAGACTTGTTAATAAGATAATAAAACTAAAAGAATACTTTAGACTTCTTAATTCAATAATTTGTATCAAATAATGCTACTCATTATATACAAAAATAGATCATAAAAATAAAAGAAATAAAAATCTTTGGTCTAATGAAAAACAAATAAGTACAGAAATGAAGTACATAATTTAGAATAAATTATTTTACATCAATAAATAGTTATGCTTACATTTGAGGTTTATTTTTACAAATATAGTAAAAAAAAAAAAATCAATGAAACATATCGAATCGAAAATACATATAACTAGTTTTATACACATACAAGCAAGCATATATAACAGAAACACTAACATTAACAACTAAAATGTCTAATATTTACATATTTCAATACATAAATATATTTCCACAATGGTGGTAACTAATGTTGTACACTATTCAATCATGCATAACTACACAATGGGCTAACTGTTCATATTGTTGAACAATTAATTAGAGAGTCTAAAGTTGCTTGTTAACTATTGTACACCCCAGAGTAGTCTAAACTAAATGTGATTCGGAATGTAAAGACTTGGTATATAAAACATTATATTGAATACTTGATGGTTGACCATTGTATATTATTGAGGAAGAAGATGGTCTGGGATGGCATTATATAAAAACTAAAATAGTTAAAAAAAAAATAAACTATTTTAAACGGCTTTAAATAAAACAGTATTTTTTTTTAATATTTTAGTCTTTTTATGACCCTGGACCAACTCCTTCCTCAATAAAACATTATAATTTAAATAAATTTAGTCACTATTTCATAAATGTTCAGGAATTGAAAGATGAAATTTTCAAGAAAAAAAAAAGTACCTTCTAGTACTAATTTTTCGTCCATTGACTTACTTTTGATAAAACCAGAAATATAAATTTATATCTTATATTTGGTCATATTAAATCTTATAGCATTATTCACTTGATTACAAAATAGTATTCTTAATGAAAGATGAGTTAAATAAATTTATAATAACAATTCAAAGAAGCTAGTAAAAAACATAATGAATTACTTTGATTTTTTTAAAAAGACTATATTATGATCTTATAACTAATAAAGTACAGAGATTCAATTAAACAATGATTTAAATTACTAAATGTACTGTTTGTTTTTTTGTTGGCATAAAAACACAGCAGTTTTATCAGTTATATTTTTATACAATAAACGGTAGTTCAAGTTCACAAGGAAATGCTGTATTCAAAAATATTTCTTTTAACTTCATAATTAAGAAAAAGTAAATAAAAATACTTGTTAAAGCAATAAAATATTTTTAAACAATTATTTTTAATTTTATTGCTTTAATATTTTGTTAGTAACTGACTACAGTGAAAATAATACCTAGAACTAAATAAATACTACTAGTTACTCTTGGGACATACATGAATGAATTATAAACATTTAATAATGACTACAAAGTTTTTAAGAATAATCCTAGATACTATTTGATATGGCAATCAATCGAGCATTTTTTGGAGTCAATGTAAAAAATAACCAGATGTAATCTGGTTTACACTTTATACTTAATAACCTAGTTGAAAGACTATCCACAAAACATGCAATTGGCTATTGAATTTTCCTGCAAAAAAACAAAACAAATAAATGGAGAGAGAAATTCCATATTAACAAGTTATATTTATCAGTTCAAAATTGGATATAATATAAACATACTTAACATTCATCAGGTATAAATACAGAGACAGACTAAAGAGAATAATAAATAGGGCTGCAAGATTTTTTAATTGAATCCTAATACATTTATCTTCTCACTATCATGCTGAGTTAGGGTGGCTCTTACCCTCCTTTCTAAGGCACATTCCTTAACCAAATATTCCACAACCTGAAACCATTGCCCTTCCTTCCTATATTATTTTTATTTGTTGTATTACTTTTCTATTTTTGAGAGACTTTGTATACCTTTGTTATTTAAGTTTTTTAATATTTTATTTTGTATTAAATAAAATGAATACAATAACAAAAATTAATTTTAAATAAAATAAGTAATTACTAATTATTGGTGTTCTTGCAAAAAATCTTGTATAAAGATACTGTTTTATGTTTAGATTATATTACGGATGTTATTGGTTTTACCCAAGTTTACTATCTCTTATTGCAACAACATATATCATGATCTGATATTCTATTAGTAGGAAAAAATAAACATTTGAAACCTAAAGTTTGATATGAAACTGGAAATTAATAATAGTGAATGTGATTAGATAAATAATTGATAACTATGTGGTATTGGTTTGGTGGTAAAGATATGGTTAAAATAAAAACATGTGAAACCAGATGAAGTTGATTGATATGAAGTTAAAATTAGGTAATATCAGATTGTATCACATGAAACATCCAATTCTGAAGTTATAATGTTAAAATATGATTAAATATTATCACAATTTATTAATAAGTAAATAAAGTTGTCAATTAGGGATAGTAAAACAGAAGCATTAGGTATGAAAAAGCAAGGGCCAATTCTTGTTCTCTAAATTTTGACATTTGGTTGTAAAACATGCTAACTGATAAAATGAAAACTTTTACGATGTTCAATTATTGGCCGGCTAAGATATTTTACCTTCAACCATTCTTGTTCTCTAAATTTTGACATTTGGTTGTAAAACATGCTAACTGATAAAATGAAAACTTTTACGATGTTCAATTATTGGCCGGCTAAGATATTTTACCTTCAACCAGCAGACACTTACAATAACTTAATAGCAACATTATTCTTTAAGAAAAACAGATTTCCAACACATTCATTCAATTACCTATGAAATCAGTCAGAATCCAGTGTCAAAAATTGCAATTCACAAAAATTGTAGAAACCATGTTTTACAACCGAGCAACTCTATTGACAAATTAATTATTGCTTTTAAAAATTAACTATCTACGTTAAAATGTTAATATTTATAGGATAAGCAGAAACCTATCAAATTTACAGGTATTTATGTACTTGTAGGAATATGAAAGTAGTTGATAGTTTTTTCAAAACTAATTTTTGACACTTAAGATCTTATTTAAAATTAATGATGCAATTAATTTACTTAAAATTATATATAAATTAAGTAACCAATTACTTACAACTAAGAGTAAAATGTAATGACAGGAGTTTGATTTCCTCGTAGCAGGATAAACGGAGGCATTCCTCTGGTCAAACATTCTAACCATGCCATGTAATGGGCTGCTGATACAAGACCTTTTCTTGGCATCGGCAATGACCTTCAAGTCAAAAGATTGCATTAAAACTTTTATCAAAATTATGAAAACTTATATTTTTGTAATATTAAAAGTGGACAGGAGACTAAAATAATATATTTGAATTAGAACTACAAATATTGAGAAACATAAACATAAATCATTAAACGCTTTGAAAACCATCGGCGTAAAGTACAAGCATCACATCATTTCCCCTTAATTTTAATCTTTATAATAATAAGACGTATTAACCAAATGTATCATATTAAAAATATTTTAACAAGAAAAATTAAACTTTTTTGGTTAGGATTAACATCTTTCTTTACTCCAAATATTTTAGCAGGAAGATAAAATTCTTCTCTAGGCAACAAGGATGGGGATATCAAGATTTTTTCAATGGATCTGCCAAAAAAAAACCAACACCGTTTCTGATTTAAGAATGCTTAGATACTCCTCACCAAACCCTACCATCACAAACTTACTCATACATTTAAAAGCTCAATGAGATCCATTGATCGCTGATCCGTTTTTAGGTGTCTTAAATAATGATGAAGAGAAATCTAAAAAAAGTTAATTTGTAAGTAAAAAAGTAAGTTGTATGGAAATTCAATAATATATTTCCCTAGGATAATCTCACTAGACCTCCCTACTAATACCCTACTCCTTCTGATACCATTCACGTTACAGCTATTGAAAGCCGGTGGAAGATGATTAAGAATATATAAGTTGTAGACAATCCTGTCATGAATGGAAGTTGGTAGTGACTGATATTTAATTTTCAAATATCTTAATCTAGAACACTAGATAATTCTCCAACAACTCATGATAAAAAAATTAAAATAAAATAACAACAAATAAAGATTGTTTTAACTAAAATAAAATAATCAAATAGCAAGCAAGGTGTTCTGTTCTATGCTTAAAGAATAACAACTATACTCACATTACAACTAAAGTAGAATCTTTGGAATGCTTTTGAAGCAATTCTCTCAATCTCAATTGCCTGTCAGTTTTTTCTTTGAGGTTTTCCAATTCTTCTTCAGTTACGACAGCACCTAAATAGAATATGACATTTGATTAGATTAGTGGTCAGAAACTTTAGGAAGAAATAATTAAAAAATTGTACTTTTTTTTTTGTAAATTACCTTCTTCTTTACAAGTATTTTCCCTGAATCCTTTGAGTAAATCATCAAAAAACTCCCTTGTACTGGCTTGAGGGGCCTCCATGATGTCGTTGATCATAGTAAGAGACTCGTACTCTATCCGGAACTTTCCCAACAAACTTGCCATGCTGTAATAATTTTATAACAGTCATTATTAGATATTAAAAAACTATCGTCTTATAAAATTCATACAGTCGATATTTGAGAAAAAAAAATCTTAGACTCTTACCTGGCTTCTTCAGTTTTCAAATCATAATTACGATTTGCTATTGCAAATACACGCATACGACATGAAGAAAATATCTGTCTAGTGCTTAAAATATATGGTAAGAGTATTGCAAAACCTATAAAAACAAACAAGAAGTGAATAAAGAAAAGTAAATTAAATTAACTATAATTATTTTACTTAACTAATTATATACAAATAAATATTATTATGTCAGGAATTAATTTTTTTTATTTTAAGACATAAAAATGAAAGGTCTTTTACTAGTGAAAATATTTGTTGCTGAAGTTATAATTTATACTGTTAATTAATAATGTGTTAACTTTTACTTTGTTCATACCTCCATCATCATAGAGCCACCAAACATCTAAATATCCTCCTTTGAATTTTTTATCAAATATTCTCATATCATCAATAATAGCTTTGCTGTATTCCTCCTCATTTGGATATCTTAAAGAGTGAAATAATTTATTAATTATAATATTACCATTATATTATTATTAACATATCTACATCCATTTTTAATTCATATAATAATAATAAGCAATTTACCATCTTAATAAACTTACTTCAGTAACATTTTATCAGTTGTGGCCTTTTTTCTAGTTCTTAAAATATTTGAAGGTGATATTCCATTGGTAAAACCAGTATTATAAACAGCTCTGTCAGATACAACATTTCCTGTAAAAGAAACAATTTAAGTAAACTAAAAGAAAATAATTCATTAAGAAATTTAAATTAAATATATCGCTGCTGTTAGTGCAAAAGTTCGAATGTAACAATTTTCTATGTTAATTCTATTTGTGCTAAAGGTGACATTTTGTAGTCTGAAACAGCAATCAATAGTCTACTACAATAGAAAATAGTATAGAGAAATTAAATATGAAATTATATTAATAAATCATAAAGAAATAATCAGTGTCATCCACGTTTGTATAATAACTCAATTTTCACACAGGAACTTCTGTACTAATAGTAGAGATATGTATATATTAAAATATGAATATATATATAGTGATATAAATTATGAAGTTTAAAAATCTGAGGCTCGACATGTCAAATAAGCAGACCTATAGAATAAATAACTTTCATGCTGGTTTGTTTTGTCTTAAAGTTTAAAGTTGTTTTTAAATTTAAATTAAAAATCATTAACTGTGAAGACTAAATCAATATGTCATACAATTATTTTTAAACTTATGAAGAAATGGATACTTAGTACTTACCAGAAATAATGAACGAAGCTTGAGAAGGTATTCTTGATATATCAGGTGATCCTTTTAAAGCAGAACCATTAGTAAGATCGGTCATGGAAGCAGCAAGTTCTTCTATTACAGGGACAGGTTCTATTGTAGTAGGTAAAGAAAAGTCTAAACCACTTGGATGCCTTAGAATCACAACTGCGAATCGATTTGCAAAGGCCTCACTGAAAGTTAATATTTATGATAATCAACTTTATTATGGTTGTTCACTTTATATTGTTAGATTTGTATTTATTAATGCTATTAATTAATAGGTTAAAGAATCAGAAACCACTTGATACTACTTTCATAGTTATGTTAAAAAAAATTATCGCCAATTTTCAAACTTATCTTGTAATCACCTTTAGCTATTTAAATTGAAGGGTCAAATGGATAATGATGATAATTAACATTTTTCGACTTCAGAGAAAACTGAATCGAAACCACCTTCACCATTATGAAGCAGCCGGTCATGCATCCTCAATCGTTTTCTTTCTTTTTGAAAATTAGATCAAGCCCGTTGATATATGTTTTTTTCTAATATCAAAAAACCTTTTTTTTAAACATTATTTTTCTTACAAAACATTAATTATCCCTATCTTAACTGATTAGGTATCTGCTAATATTTTGCTGAAGTGATGATGAAAAAAGATTAGTTTGAAAATGGCTAACATTTTTTTAAAAAGGAGGCAAAATATTACCATAAAATAATGTATTGAAATTAAAATTTTGTTAAACAATTTTATTTATAAATTGAATAGCAGCGTGGTTAGCTGATTTATTAATTTAAATTAATAAATATTATTAATTGTACTTAATCTTATGTAATTAATTAAAAAGTAATGCTGACACAGTTATAAATTAAGTGGGTGCCTCTAAAATGATTTAATTTCCCATAAATCCCTCCCTTAAACAAGGATCCATGGTATTATTGAATATAATTATTCTAAAACTAATATTCAGGAATCAAGTATTTTTATATATTATTTGCTAAAAAGCTGATGTTGTATAGAATGTGCTGAAGAAAACAAATAAAATGTAAAATGTCAAACCAAAGGCAACTAATGTAATGGAAGTTCAAGGAATATTTAACAAGTATAAAAAGATAATAATGAATTAATCTGAAAACATTAATATCATAGATGTAAGGATAAAATGAATTAATTTTTATTTTTCTAGTAAAAATGAATCATTACATAAATTTTGTATAAAAATTAATTAATAATTTTTTATTACTGTAGAATAGAGAAGTAAACGTTGAGGTCATCATATGGACATTGAGCCCAGTCAGATTTGTATCCCATCATTAAAACGTTAGGTCTCAACTTTCCAACTCCTGTCGTTTGAATAATAGACCTTGCAGCTTCCGCCGGGCCTAAACCGTCCACAAGTGTAAAGAAACCTTTAACTTTTTTGCAAGTCAGCCAATCTTGTCCCCTGACCACTCGGCTTTCTCTGTTTCTGTGTGACAATCTTTCCTTTAAACAAAAAAACACTAATTGATTAAATTAAAAAATATAGACTATTTTAATAAAAATAAATGATGTTTTAAGTAATTTTTAACATTTTTTTTTGTCTTGCTGGTATAAAATAAAAATTAATCCTTTATTTAAAAAGGTGACACTAAAAAATTTTTTTTTAAAAGTGTAACTAGACAATAGACACCAAAACTTTACACTTGAGAGATATTTAATATTTAGATAGAAGAATCATTAAAGTATACTCTGAAAGAATATTAAATCATATTCTCATTATTCTTTTTGAAATAATAAAATAAGAGCATAAATATAGATTAGTTCAGGCATAAATCAGGATTCAGTAAGTACAAAACAATAATGATACCTTGGAAATATCAGCACAAATGAGAAGTGAGTTGTGCTTTGTTATTAGGTTAGCGAGATCAACTAACGCTGGCCGGCTCTCGGGTGGGCCAGATAGGACTAGAACCTGTGGTCGATAATTTTTAACATGTTCAACGCTACCAGCTAATTTTTGCACTGTCATCAAAGCTGTTTTGTAAACTTGGGCCTGGGTGGAAGAACCCCAATTAGCATCTAAAAGTAATAACAATGAAATAAGTAAAATATATTACAATAAACATATAGAACGAGTTTTCAATTGCAATAAATGTGTAGTCATTCAAAATAAATCAACATTGAACTTTCTTTAACCACTCTGAAAATGGATATTCTTTATTTGGTCACCCAAAATGAGTGCAATATTTATATAAGATAATTTAAAATACATTTTGTACTAAGATTATCATTTATATATTATTAAAATTCAATGTTAAATTTATTAAACCTATTTGAGCATTTGAAAATAAATATTTACACAAGCATGTTTTTAATTTCTAATATAATTAACATATCTTGATTGTTATTATAATAGATTGATTGTTTATTTTTAATAACATTAGCTAAAATTAAAATATAATGATAGAAAGTAGCTACAAGAAGTCTTAATGAAGAAGTGGTGTACACTATTAATCAATTTGATTTATTAGAAGCTCTTTAAAGATATAAAATAATAACAAATAGTCATATAATTAGTGTACATATTAAAATCATTAGATAAACGAAAATATATAAATTCCTCATTTACTTGATAAAATACCTCATTTAAATTATCTCACCTGGTTTTCTATATACAACGACTATGTAAAGCACGAAAAAAACGCCAAATGTTATGAGTGACGTCCTCCAATCAATCAGAAACATAATTAGCACGCAAGCGAAAAATCCAAACATTGATAGCCACATGTTGTAGAACTGTTGAAAAAAGAAAACAATCGTAACCATATTTATTTTGTATAAGCAATATGTTATTTATTTATTTTTTTTAAATGTATATACTTTAAAAGTAGGCCTCCAACCAAGAGGCTTGATGAGCTCAGCATGGAAATTGCAGAAGTTGATAAGAGCATAAGATGCAAGGTAGAAGTTTGAAATCAAAGGAGCTATAGCATTTAAGTCAGCTGAAAAAAAAAGAAGATTATTTTACACTATTGATAAAATAAAATATTTATTGAGTCATTATACCATTATAAAATAGATTATTATGTCTATAATTAAGAGGCTGACATGGGAATTTTTTTATTTATTAATCCAATTTAATTGACCTTTTCAATATTTATTTTTATTTCTATAGAAAATATCTTCTTCAATTACCTTACTTTGACGAATAATGGTTGTTGATAAAAATTTTATTTCAAAACATTTCTCAGCTATTCTGAACATGGGAAAAACTTTAGATTGATACAAAACAAAAGAATCATCTTAATCATTTTTTTTTTGGTTTTCTTGACAACAAAAATTAGTTTTTTCTAATGGTGAAATATCTTAAGTTATAGCTTTGTTTAATACTTTAAAAATATAGGAATCATAATATCTACTTTGGCCTATTATTTCTTTTGTGGTTCAAATATGCAAAGGAACTAAGTTTGTTATTTTGACTTTGTGTGTTGTATTCACAACTCGAAAATTTAATTAACTTGAGTGAAAAAATCAAAAGTAGATTATTTCTTATTAAAAATTATCTTAACATGTATTACCTATAATGACAAATGCCGAAGATATTAGAAAAGTAAGAACGTATCCTCTGTATGGTTCTCCAGATTTTCCGTAACCTTTACTGAAAAATATGAGACCAGGATAAATGTGATCTATACCAAGGGCTTGTATGAGTCTTGGTACGGAGAGTAGGTTAGTTAGAGCAGTGGATAAGGTCGCAGCGAAGCAACCGGCATAAATCAGGAGACCCCATGCGGACATCAACTGCATCACCTGAAGAAGGAATCAATAAAAATACTTTATAACTAAAACTTAATAATAATATTAACCTAAGGTTAGGCATTTTTAATAATAAGTAAAAACTTAGGAGTTTAACAAAGGATAAATAAAAAATTACACAGAGATCTTTAGAATAGGACAACAAAGGAGAGATTGGAATTTATATTGAAAAGCCATTGAGAAATAATATAGATAGCTTATTTAATAAAAGTGGTGACCTAGATTTAAATTTAAAAAAAATTCTATTTAAAATATAATAGAACTATTTAATTTTTAAATGGAAATGGATTTTTCATGAGAACAGAGAAGAACTTGACACGGAATGTAAAAGTAATGTAAAATGTAAGATAAAGGGTTAAAAACTACAAACACCACAGGAGAGGAGGAGTTACTAGTAATTAATTTCTAAATTTTTTATCCTAAATAAGTGTGTGTTAGTCATAAATTTCACTCTATGGTTTCCTAAAATAACTCGAGATTTATGTAAAATGAGGAGATAGCTTTAAAAATAAGACTAAGAGATTCGTTTGTATTGTCTGATGTTTCACATTAATTGACTGTCTGATAACAAGGGATTACTGTGTAACTAATTATGATGTTCAATTCGGATTCATAAATATAACAAAAATAAATATATAATTACCGTGTAATCATTATGAAGACCATACTTGCAATCATGGTCCGAAACACATGCAGTGATATTATTTGAAACCAAATCTGAAACAGATCCACTCGCATCTCGAATTGCAGCTGCTCCGGCAAAAACAACAAAAAGTGCATATGAAAACATTGAGATTGCTAGAGAAAGCAATGTTCCTTTTGGTATAGCACCAGCAGGATCCTAAAAAAAAAAAAATAAAAGATATAGAAAAATGGCATTTTTAAAATATTACATTATCTTCAAACATATATATATATATATATATATATATATATATATATATATATATATATATATATATATATATATATATATATATATTTACTCACTTTCAGATCACCTGAAATATTGGCACCTGCTTGGATTCCAGTGACAGAAGGAAAGAAAATAGCAAACACAGAAAAGAAATCCTGTTGCACATTTTCGCTATAACGATAATTAGGACTCCAGTTTTCTTTCATTACTTCCACTGAAAAATACATTATTTCATTATTGGAACCAAAGGAATGAATTATTTAATATAATTTAGTAATATAATTTGAGAAGGAGTTGGTCGGGGGGTGCGGTCAAATAAATACTAAATTTATTTATTTTATTATTAATTAGAAGTCTATTAACTGCTTCCTGCAGTGCCCTATACCACACCCTGATAGAGACCTACAAAGTGGATCAAAACATCGGCGTAACAATTAAAATAATATTTTGAAATTTTGTATTTATTTGACCGCACCCCCTACCAACTCCTTGTTATATTATATCATGGTCAACCATCTCTACATTATTAGTAATATGATTCCTCGATAATAATTTAGGCTTTCCTGTAACTAAACTAAAATACTATTTTAATATCAAAAATAAGTGATTCAACACTAGGTATTCAAAAATAGAAAAAAATAAATAAAATAACTACTAACATTAGGTGGTTTACTTTCATTTAGTGGCGGATTTCCACAAGTTTCAGGGAGAAAGACCGGAGTACTTTCGTAAAGACTAGAGGAGATAAGATAGGAGTAACCTGTCCTTCCTGCCCTAGCTGAATTTATTAGGGATGTTAAATTTAAATAAACAAAAAGTTTCAACCATTTAATTTCATTCTAAATTATTAAATTATTAAAAGTATAGCCCTGGATAGTGAAACAAATCTTTAATTATGAACTTATATAAATTTAATAAAAAAAATAGCTCATATGTAACTGTTTTTCATTATTAGTAAGCATGAGTAAAGAACAATTAACATAAAGACAATTAAATATGATATAATAGACATAGTTTACTGTCTTACTCTAACGTAGTAGTGTTTGTTAAAGATTGGACAGCACTCGAGTACAAGAAGACAAAATTCAAAATAATAGAGTACCAGCTTCTTTTAACAGCTAATAACCAATTGAGGTAAAACAAAAAAAAATTAAACAATTATCAGAACTAAGAAAGTTTAATAAAATCTTGTATTACATCTTTTAAAAACAAACATTTAACACAGGAAAAATAAAAGTAAATTATAACTTAAACAATAAGTACTATTTAGATAAACACTAATTTGAAAAATATTGAAAGTAAAAGGGTTTTATAAATCTCAAATAATATTAAAAAAAATTGCAATATAGAAATAATTAATATAATAAGTAGTAATAATAATTTTAAAGTACATACATGAAAATCCATGGAATCCTTTTGCTTTGTCTAGATCGGAAGTAGGACCAAGTACAGCCCCAACCAAAAAATCAAAAATCGCTGCCACAATCACAACCAACAAGAAATTTTGAGCCTGAAAAATAGACAATTTTATATTATTCTAGTTTCAATAAATTGTAATAATATTAAGACCAAAGCTATAATTTGATATTCCATATATTAGATTGTTATGCTTAGAGAGTCTATGGATCCCCTTCTTAGCACTTTTTTTTGTTTTACTCCATATTGAGGAACACAACATGAAGCATTGGCCATAAGACAGATACTCTTACAGTTTGATTGGGACTTTCTACCTCATCCCTTCCTACTCCCCTGATCTTAAACCATACGATTATTACCTTTTTCTTTTGTTAAAAATTCTCTCCATGATAAATGTCTCAAATTTGAAAGTGAAATAAAAACGCATCTCGATGAATGAATATTTTGCAAGTAAGTCCCAACCACTGCCAGCCTTAAGGTGTTAACCGCTAACCAAGTAGTAACCGAGGCTTGCCACTTTTTAGAAATAAAAAAAAGTATTAATTTTCGCCTATTAATAAAGCAACTGTATTAGAGAAATATTGAATGAAATAAAATGCAAATACTGCATAATATAAAACCGCTTAAGAAATCAATTTAATTTTTTTAGGGGAAAGGAAGATGATGTCATTGCGGGGGGGCGCCGAATATCTAAGGTCGGCACTAGCCTCAACAATTTGGAAAAAAGGCTATAAGAAGCTTCCTGAAAGATAGCAGAAGGTAATAGAGTAGAACGGTTCATGTATAACACAGTAAATTAACCTTAAACAACAAATAAAGAAAATGGAATGAACTTATGGGACACCCTAATAAAAAGGACTTATGAAACAAACTTCTTTAAGAGAGAAAAGTATTAACAATAAGTAACTTAATTTATATAATACTTGTAGTTAATATTAATTACTATTGGTAAGACTTACTTTAGATTCCCATTCCATTCCGATTGCACAAATGATGACCATAACAAGAATTGCTATAATTCCTATTACCCTCACATTGTTGATCCCACCATCTATAAGCTTTACACTATATTCAGCTAAGAGATCATTGAGGGAATTACAGAAGCCTATTGTGTTCATTGAGGCTGATACCGCATTGGCGAAGGCCAAGATTACACCAACAGACGCACCGAATTCAGGTCCTAGAGATCTTGAAATTATGTAATACACTCCACCTGTGAGAATAGATATTGATTAATGAATAAAATTGATTTCAATAAACAAATATTAAAACAGGATAATGAACATAAAACTAATTGATAAAATATTAAATTAGTGCATAGGACAATCAATACATAACTTCATTGTTCCTGCAGGTGTCAATATTTTTGCTTTAATAACATAATTTTTCATGTTATCCTCTGACTTAAGGTATATTAAACTACAGCCTACCCAACACTACCATAGCTTAGATTGTGGAAGTAGGTTTGGTTTATATACTTTATACTTATATATTTTTTTTTTTAAATTTTCAACCTTACATAAAAAAAAACAAAAAAAAACTATGTTCTTAAGATGCTATTAAGCTGATCAATTATTTTGAGCATAGGAGGACCATACTAAAATTCATAGTTAATTGTACAGAAAGCTAGCATCTTTCATAGTTGCTAATTTTTAGATCTAAACTATCAGTTTTGAAAATTGACATTTTTAATAGCATGTCTTGTGCAACACCTTTTGAGCTAACAGTTAAAAAAAAAAAATTGTAGTCATATGCCTACTGATCATACTGGTGATGAAAAGTTGTCTAAAAAATTATCTTAGACAACTTCAGTACATGAATATATAAAAGATTACATAAGATAATCGCTTTGGTATTTATGTTATTAGGAGTATAAAGTAACACAATGGTGTATAAAAAGAGTACAGGTTTAATTTAAGTATCAGAATCTATTACTTAATAATTAATAATTATTAACCTCCTTTGACTTCCCCATTGGTAGATATCGCCGATAAGGAGAGTGTGGTGATAACACAGACAATGGCAGATATCGCAATGATGACCAACGACATGCCAACCCCTGCTTGTGCCACGACCCAAGCCAACCGCAAGAACAACATAACACCCCAAATGTTAAGCAAACATGGGATGAGTACTCCTTCGATCCACCCCAGTTTGATGCCAACATGGACGGCAGGGGTTCCGGGCTCTGTACCTTTCTTATCTGTTTCTTCCTCGCCATCTTCCTGCAACAAGAATACCAAAAAATATGAGCTATATTCAAAGTTTAAACAGAATCCATGATACATAATCCATATGATTTAATATTTGATAAACTAAAAAATTAAAGTTCAAATGAAATTCTGTAATTAATTTCTTAATTATTAATTATATATTAATTTATCTGATATGTACTGAAAAATGCTATATAAATTCCTTCAGTGGAATAAATCATTAAAAACGAACTGGAATAGATATTTTTTTTTAAAATAGATAACTGAAGCTTTTTTCATATAATTATTTATTTAAATATAAGATCAAACAAAATAAAATACTTCATAAAAACTAGGCACCTTACACAAATTCTGTGTTATAAGAGTTCTTTAATAAGCTGTAGATTGGTAATTAAGCCAAATAAATAATAAATGTAACGTATTTAATTAACATACAAAAATCTGATTGTATTAAATGTGATTGATAAGAAGAAAAAAACCAAACTAGAGTAAATGGCTACAAAAGAAGTAATAAACATCATATTAGTTTAAATAGTTTATTTAATTCAAACTTAAATAAAGTGGAAAGGAAAAAAGGCAATATTTTGTATTTAACAAGTATTGACATATTTAAAATAAATTTTAAATAATAAAACAAAAAACAAAACAATTCCCTGTTTATAATTCTCACAAGAATTCTAAAAGTGTTTTTTTACAAAGTAACATATTTTACAATAAGGGAGGGATTAATCGGAAGTGAGGTGCAAGATGTGGCACGTAAACTTAACTTATAAATCTGTTTTATTTTCTGTTTCAAGAGGTTTAAGGAACACTTACTGCGGAGTAGTAATAGATAGATTGTGGTTTATAAACACTCGGCTAAAAAAAGAAAAGCTCTACTGCCCAAGATTTTAACTGTTCCTGTCAACTTGACTTTAGAAAGCTTGATATTTCACAAAAGGATAGTAATTTATTAGGATTGTTGTGGAGAACAAAATATGATAATTAAAAAATAAAACAAAAAGTTCTTGCAGCAGTTGAAGTTGTTATACTTTAAAATTCAGTCAGGATATTGAAGTTTTTAGCACTGATATCAAGATAACAATATTCATAATACAATTTAATTGTGTTTTTAGCCATCAAGGGCAAAATAAGAAATTATTAAATTTATCAATATACCAATGAATTGATTAAATAATTTAATGAACAGTGTACAAAAAAAAATTAGCACAATTTCTTTGCCAACTAATTTACATCAATAGAAATATAATTAAACTTTGTTTTGTTCTAAATTTCAGTTTATAAGGTCAAGTAGTACCATTTCTGAAATAAAGAGAATACAATCACAGTGACAAAAAATTGAACACAAATAATAAATTAATTTAATTAAAATTTTCAAGAATAGAAAAAAAAATTGCAGTAGCAGATTTAGACATACTGGTTGGGGTCATCCCTACTCAGCTTATCTACCATATTTTTATTTTTTATTTTCCCTTTTGGTCAGTCAGATTTTCCCTTTTTTCTCTTAAGAAAGACTTACAAATCCCTTCTGCCAAATTTATTCAAAATAATATGTAACTACTTGCTTTATTTGTATTATTACAAACATTGATTAAACTGTGAGATCAGGTTAGGCTTTGATTGATAAAAAATGTTTCCTTTTTTTCCACTTCCAATCTTGGGATTTCCCGAAAAAGGGAACTTTTTCACCAGTGTCTATCTCTACTAGGAGCGCTGCTTGAGGTTTGTGGGAAGTGGGTGGAAGAAGGATTTTTCGAGGTGTGATAAGTTTGGGGTTTGTTTTATCCCTTCATCTTTCCCCTCCCCTCTCACGCCAATAAGACAACAATTTCATAACAGCATTTTTGCACTTATTTCGGAATAAATGTGATAGAAATTGAAACAAATATCTTTAACTTTATCTGAAAACAAAATTTGTTCGAAATTTACCAAACAGGGCAGATACCACTAGACCTCTTCCTCCACTAGTTACAGCCAGGAGTACCCATCCCCCTCAAGGTCGATGGCGATAATTCATCTCTTCCCCTCCAAAAATTGTATTAACCTCCTATTCTTAAAAACAGTGCAAGTGAAAGTATAATTAAAGTCGTAGATCATAAACAGTTACACTAGCTGCGCCTGTCCCATGTTTTGTATCTAGTTCTCTATTTTGAAGCTTTTTACTCTGAAAATTTATAATTTCGTCAAAATTTGTCGCCCTCAAAAGTTCAAAATCTCGTCAAATTGTGCCAGTTAAAAAACTGATGGCGCCACTTGCGCTATGAAACCCCCTCCCTTCTGGGCACCCCTGGTTCCAGCCCTTGCGCGAAGTTTACACCGAAGCCGGCCTAAGATATTCGGCGGTCCCCCTCGGGCAATGGCGTCAATTCTATCCCCCCCAAAAAATTAATTGTTTTTCTTCAGCAGTTATATACTGTGTAATATTTGAATTTTATTTCATCCAATTTTTTTCTAATCCAGTTTTAGAGTTATCAATAGCTTTATTGATAGACTAAAATTAATTGTTTTAAGACGTTTTGTATTTTTTTAAATTTATAACAAGAGGCGAGCGTCCCTAAAGATCGGCCGCCGATGCCGGTCAATTGCCATCCTTAGACCGGCACTAGTTTTCACTTTACAACATATACGGCACTCAGTGATACAAAATACCTTTTTTTGGGAGATCGAAAAATTCATCCATCTTAGACGAGTTCAAAACACATATTAATGTTTTTTTTTTATTATGAATCGAATGAAACCAAAAGTAAGTCAACAAATTTCGCCAACGGCCATACCACGTTGAACACACCGGTTCTCGTCCGATCACCGAAGTTAAGCAACGTCGGGCGTGGTTAGTACTTGGATGGGTGACCGCCTGGGAAAACCGCGTGCTGTTGGCATCACTTTTTTGGGGGCGGGGTGGCCGAATGGGCTTAAGTGTGTGCACAGCACCGCGAGTTGCCTGGCAACCGGATTACAGATTTGTAGAAGATTTAAAAAGTACGAGTTCGCGTCCCGGTGCCGGAGAGGATTTAAATTTCCCCGTCCTCACCCCCGGCCCGGGAAAATCTCGTATTGACTAAAAGGCGAGGTAGGGAAGGACAAAAAAAAAAGTCAATAAATTTAAGTGTTTTTGGTATTATGACAGTATTTTGTTTCAAATTGTGAATACTTTTTAATAAAATTAAATTTAATAATTCAAGTCAACTGTAATGAAACGAAACTTAGGCAAATACGAGGATCGAAATGAAATCTGATGTAAGAAATGTTTAATAGTAAAGTTTACATTAATTACAAAATACGGGAAAAAAAGGTAAGTATATATTTTATATATCGGAATATGAGAGAATTTCAATTGTTTATGAAACCAATAATAAACTTTTTGAATAACAAATTAACGATTTAAAAAATACTGGCTATTATTTGAATGGAGTCCAAGTTTGTATCTGAACATGCGGCCTATCACATTTGCATCGTTAAATATCCAAACGTTAAAAACAAACAGTATAAACTTAAGAGGCTAGGTTAAGGTTCTTGTGATGAAATGGACTCTCAACGTCGAGTTTCTTAATAGCCTTTACGGAGGTAAATTATTATTACTTTACTGCTTTATCCAAAACTTCAGAACAAGAAATGGAGTGAATCGAGTCGGGGTGATTATTTAGATAAGGACCGTACAGATCAAGCGTGGTTCACAATCACCTCGGTCACACTGGTTCAAGAAGTGCTGAACACATCCTGATTAATCCGAAAGAATATGTTCGGCACTCCATGAACAAATGAGACCGAAGTGATTCTGAACCATTAGTAACCAGTGCCATCCTCATCTAAATAATTACAGGAGTCGGGATAATGAACAATTAATGAGAATACAATAAGTATGCAAGAAACATAGCAATCTTGAAAAAATTATAAACTTTATAATAATAAAAACTTGAAACAAAACACAACCTTCTATTCATCAAATAATTTTAATTATTTAAAGAAAATAAATAAATTTAATTTTTAAAGAAATAAGTGCATATATCGATAGAGGCATTTGTTCTATTCATAGTAAGCCCTCCTACACGTGTATCTAGTATTGAGCCGACCTTGAGAGAAACTATTTGAATTTTAAATTGCTCTAAAGAGACGAATTATGACCTGCAAACAAGGTCTAATTAGAGCTTATTTAATAATGAGGAATCTACAAACACACTGCAGTAATTATCTGTGATAATGCATATGTGTGAGATAATAATAAGAGTTGCAATTTATGAATATAAAATTTATGCATGCATTTATGACTAAAAATATATTAGAGTAATTACTAGTACGACTTCATTGAATACAAAAACATAATTTATTAACATATGATAATGCCAGTAAAGTAACTCAAACTTTTAACTTATATCCAATTTATTTTATTCTTATTACATTTGACAACTTTTCTTAATTTCCCGTCCTCATACTAACAAAATATAAAATGAATTACAGGAACGTTTCGTGAGATCAGCCCTGAACTTTGGATCGAAACGTCGCCAAAAATAAATATAATTTATTTATTTTTACCTTGTATTTTGACTGGACACCCAAATAAATTTCTGTTCAATTATTAACTACAGCCAACCATCAATCCACTATTATAAAATGAATGAATTATTTTAGTTATAGAAGAAATATAAATATAAATAAATTAGTTAGAAAAAGAAAATATAAATGCATGCTAGAAAAAAAGTAAATTCCTCCATTAAAATTTACCTTTTTTACTTTTTTTTCCAAAACTGGGAAAATATTCTTTAAAAAAACACTTACATAAATAAGAAAGACTTGGTTTTTCTAGGAGTTGACTTATTATATAAAATAAATTATGCGAGGAAGTATTTCATTTTTTAATACGTTTTTATCTAAATAAGACCCAATACCTATTATAACATAAGTAGATTTTTCATATATTGTTCCAATAATTATTTCAAAACTTGCCAGAAAATATTTAAGAACATCACTATATATGAACATAGGCTCCTGGTCACTTCCTTAATTTTTCTCCACTT